CGCAAGGAGACCCTGAGCCCAGAGCCCGAGTCACCACCACCTCCAGCTTCCAGCAGCAGCCCCTGCCTACCCCCTGCAGTCGGGCCGCGGGCCGGGACAGGCCCAGGGCGACCCGCAGCTGCCAACGCTGCACGGGAGCGCAGCCGGGTGCAGACCCTGCGCCATGCCTTCCTGGAGCTGCAGAGGACGCTGCCCTCCGTGCCGCCCGACACCAAGCTCTCCAAGCTGGACGTGCTCCTCCTGGCCACCACCTACATCGCGCACCTCACGCGCAGCCTCCAGGATGAGGAGGAGTCTCCAGGAGAGGCCCTGGGAGCCCTCCGAGGAGATGGGTACCTCCATCCTGTCAAGGTAGGACACCTAACTAGTGTTCAAATATTCAGACGAAACCGGCAATTGCAGGCTGATTTACCTTGCTAGAACGCATGCGCAGAAAGACTGCTTTAGCTGAGTCTGCCAGAGCCATATAACTATGCACCTGGCTGCTGCAGGCCTGGTGGAAATACCTGGAGTTGCTGGCGTTTCCCCTCCTTCAGGGACTTTTCACAAAAATATCCAATACAACTGAAGTCCAAGTGCAGTGGGACTCCATCCTAAGAAGGGAAATGCCAGTATCTGCTCAGTGTCCATGGGAAGCCTGGCAGACCCGCTCCAAACCCACCACAATATATGGGGGAACTGCTAAGATGTGAAATGCTCTACAGCAGCCATCCTGGCCATGGCAGTGCTTGGCAATGTCTACAAGTCTGCAGTTTCTCCTGCTGAAGCAGCCAAGATAAGAAATAAGACATTAATTACTGGCCATGCATCAATTCCTCCTGTGAAAGTGCTTTTCTGATGCTTGTATTTCACGTAGTTGGTACATGCTGCTGTTTCTCCTGCCTTCATCAAAATAGGTCCAGGAGATGCAGAGGACATGAAAGGGGAACTGCTGTTAGGAAGTACCCGTGGATGGGAGCTGTTTCCAAACACATGTGATGCTGAAATGCTGCGAGGTGTTTTCTTTGGCTCCAGCCTAAGGGAGTGAATTAGCGCACTGCTGTTTTTTTATTAAGAGGCTGATGAATTCAGAATGATTTAATTATGATTAATTCGTGAAGTAATCCCTAATTCCTCTAAAGTGACTGAGTCACAGAGACCTCCTTGTTCATGCTCTTGGTCGTGGTAAAAAGCGCGATGTGAACGTAGGCTTCCCAGCGCATTCGAATGATTAGCAGGCTCATTAGGGAAGCAAAACCTTTACATAAATCAGAACATGGCTATAATTTAAGAAAAAAAAAAATAAACACTGTGATGTGTTTCAAAATAAGCTCTCACTAGCTTCAGTTAGCTCGCTTGGCCAGGGTGAGGGGACACAGGTCTCACAGCACTACTCAACGGCTGCCAACTACTGCCGGCAGAAAAAATAGCCATTAAAGCAGTTAAACGATCCAGCTGCACATTTCCCAGGCTACTGGAATACAGCAACAGTTGATTCATTCAGCAGTTATTTTTGATAATCCTATTTGCGTTTCATTTACCTGCAGTTTTGCCAGAGATCCTATCAGTCTAACCAAACTTTCTGATATTTTGGGTAGTAAATTAATGCTCTAGTTGGAACTAGAACAGAAGTGTCCCAGAGAAATCACAGTAAATGCTTCAAAAAATCTGAGTGCAGGATATGAGAAGAGCAGTGCAGATAAGGGCTGTAACAACACTCCTGTGTCAAGCACAGTAAATGCAAATAATGTGGAAACTAAACCGTTCAGGTGCTGTTGTGTGTACACTGACCAGGAAGCAGGGTTAATTACTTCAAGTTAGGTAATGTCTCAGATGCCTTAATATAGATGAATTCATAACATCAGGTTTGCAATAAAAACACCAAATGAGATCTTTGGGTCTTTCTAAGAGAGAACATTCTGCTTCTTTATGTCTTTAAATGGAAGGGCTGAAATCTAACTGCAGTGCTAATGCTTTGACAGCCCCCTTCCAGTTTTAGAGCTACCTTTGTTGCTCAGGAAAGGTGCCAGCCTGTTCCCCCAAGTGCCTTAATTTTAAAAGAATGGTACTACTTGGAAGACCATGCTGGCTTTTTCAGGTATTTCTGCATCAAAGGGATGCCTGAAAAGACAGCATGTTGCATCCAATTCTAACAACCAAACTCAGCTTACCACGCTCAAGCTGAGCTCGTCCATTCCTACAGCAAGGCATACAGCCGAACACCCACAGCACGGCAACTCCCAGGCTGCAAGAAAAACCCTCCCCACCAGAGCAGGCAGGCTGGCACAGCTGGGTGTGCATGCAGGGGCTGCACGCAGAGCCAACACTGGCGCATCCTGGCAGTGTCCCTTCCAGCATCGAGGGAATGGTTTGCTTTGTTTTAGTGGCAGAGCAGCTGCAATGCAACTTGTGGTGAGACACCTCAGCAGTGTGAGTTACAATTGTTTGTTGGGTCATGAGAATTTCTAGGAACTATATCTCACAGTTTATTCCCAAAGATATCCATGCTGCAGTTCCTTTGCACAGATCCTAATTTTCCAGTAAGTGACAAGACACAACTTTTTTTGGCATTACTGTCAGATTCTTATTTTCTTCTGTCATGATTCCATCACCACATAAAGCTTTGCTTTTGTCACTCAGAGCTGCATTCAGACCCCAGGTGTTTCAGCACGGTGCTTGTTCTTGTCTTGCAGAAATGGCCGATGCGATCCAGGCTATACATTGGAGCGACAGGACAGTTTCTGAATCACTCAGCACAAGGAGAAAGTGCAAACCAAGGAGAAACATCAACAAATTCTCAACAGTAGTCTCCCTTTTCATTAAAAAAAGTTATTTATTACACCACATATATATTTAAATTTAAAAAAAAATCACATCGGCAAGCCGTAATTCCTGAAATACTGTTTGTGGATCAGAAAGAATTGGTTCTTAAAGATCTCTGATACCTCATTAACTTCATGAGACTTATCACTGGCTTCTATCATTGAGGATACTGCTGGTATCTGAACCAGGGCAACAGGAGAAGGCAGCTGCTGTCAGCACTGACAGCAACAGGGGCAAGATTGCTGACAACAGCTGTTTTCATCCACCTCTGCACAGGAAGCTGATAGGTACACGATGCGAAAAAGGGACAAGGAAATGCATACTGGCTAAGTGCAGTGCAAGCTCTGAAGAAAAACAAATGGCAAACTAGTCTGCAAATAGCCATCAAAATAACGCGTGCCCTTTCCTTGTGGTATGAAGCTAATAGCAGAAAGCCCACAGACAGCAGTCAGGTCATGCCTTTATCCTTCAGGTAGTCATAAATGCATGGAGCTCTTTGAAAATGGGGGCGCACATTCACCTCAAGTAAAGATGTACTGAAATTTATTCTACACACACACAACAAACACAGACTGCTCTACAGACTAAATGTAGTTCCATTAATTATTACTTGTATTGATCTATAGCCTTGTGTTGCATGTGATGTGTCTGTTAAGTGTTACCCCAGAACTATTACATCAAAATACACTCCTCTCATCCGGGGCTTCAGATGAATGAGCCCTGAGAGCTGGCTTGTTCACAGCACATGATTCACTACATCATTTCCTATATTTAGGCAAGAAATATTTAAACTAAATGCACCAGTGCCATCTAATGTATCTGTTCTGTAAAACACCGTACTTTTCATATATTGTTATTGTCAAGGTAAACATTAAATATTATTCACTGGACATTATATATTTATTGAGATGCAAAATCTGTATCACTTCTGTTTCTAATTGCATAGGGTAAACAGTTACCTGTAATAACGTCATGGAGTTGTTCAGTGTTCATTCCTCAGTGTATAGGAATGGGGTAATTTTGGCTCTTTAATTTTGGGAGTGCATTTATACTAACAGTTCTGAGGACTTCTCCACAACTTAAGTCTTAAAATAACGCACGAGATGAGGGCATAAGATGCAGATGAAGTTTTAGGCTGAGAAAATGCCAAGTAGGATGGCAGAAGCACGGAGAAGTCACGTGGGGTTCACACATAACTAAAACCTATATTAATGACAGCAGGTCAGGGCAAAAAGAAGCGGTGAAATTAACAGCCAGAAGGCAGTGCCAAAGCTCAGCCTGCACTGTGGGCAGGTAATAACATGCCGACGAATCACCATTAGGAGAAAACGCGACATGTGCGTGCTGCATGCTGTTACATGCAGTTACCTGGTGCAGCAGCAGCTCCTAAATAACATACCTGGAGGGGACAGAATTCAGGAGGCCCACAGCAAAGCAACACAAAATGCCACCCGCTGGTCTGCAAAGGCTTCTTCCTTTCATGCCACTGCGAGGCTTTGGGAAGTAAGCACGTAAAACACGGGGGACGCACGTGCGGACAGCACGGCCGGCCCAGCGATGGCAGAGGTCGGCCAGTGTGGGGGAACTGACCTTTAGCGGTCCGTTCCAACGTACGGCTCTAAGCTGCGTCCGCACGCCGCTGCCGAAGGGAACGGTTCGTCACAGGCCAGCGGAAGGACGCGGCCCGCTCCCTGTCAGCACCGCTCTGCTCACAGACACGGAACGCCCTCTGCCCGCCGCCACACGCGCACCACCCGCTCAGCCACAGCCATGCGAGCCGCTCCCGCTCTTCCAACCCCCCCTCAACAGCCCAGAGCCGCGCCTCCATTCACCCCGATCTCCCGCCAACCCCATCGGGACCGACTCACCGTCACCACAGCGCGACGGCGACGCCACCTTTTGCGCGTGCGCAGCTCCGCCGGAGGTGCCCGCAGGCCCGCGCGCCTTTCCCGCCCCGCCCCGCGGCGCGCGCTCTATTTAAGGCCAGCGCGCGGCTGCACTGCCCTTTCCTGAGGCGGCGCAGCGCGGGGCAGCAGCGGTGGGCTCTACGGCCGGGCCCTGGTGGTGCGGGGCGTGGGTCGGTAGTGCTGCAGCGGCTGGCTGGAGGAGCCTCTCTGAGTTCCGTGAGGCTTGGGGGCGCACGAACCCGGGGCCGTGCTCGGCGCACGCCGCTCCTGAGGGCGGGCGGGCGGCTGGCCGGCTGGCTCCGTGCTGTGCGGCGGGCACGGGGCGCAGCGCCGGTCTCGGGTGGTTGCAGAGGGCTGTGGCTCGCTGATGCTGCCTTGCAGCAGCTCCACGTCAATCCCACGTCAATCTCGGCGCTCGATGCTTTAAGTGAGTCGCTTCTAGTTTGTTTGTTTGTTTTGTTTTTTCTTTTAAGGCATTAAGTTATGTCGCCAGCAGTTTAATTTGAAGAGTGCAGTCCTGGCAGTGAAATGAATCCGACCTCTAAACTGAAAGCAGTAATTGTTGGCTGCGTTTACCAAACCTAAAGCATCACTTGAGGGATGAGCGAGTGTTATCAGCCTTTGCTTTGCTCACCAGAGGTGCCTGATTGCTATCAGTGGCCTCACCTCGGTGCTGAGTGGTGCAGCTCAGGCTGATGCCTGCTGGCCTGGGCAGGATTCTCGCAATGCAATGTGACCTGTGAGCTTAAAGTGGGTCTAATTGGGGTGCTGACCTCACAGGCTGCTCATCAGGCCTCTGAAGTAGTGGGAAATGAGGCACCTGGAGAGACTTGGTTTTGCTGATAAGCCACGTTGATTGGCAAGCACATGTCCTAATTGTGAAGATAAATTACTGTTTTTCCCCAGTTTGGCTGGTGCTGCACTGTGACCCTGAGCGTGCCCTTTTTGCACAGCAGGCACAGATCCCAAAGGGTCAGGGCAGCCCCAGGTGTCTCTGTGGCCTTGCTCTGCTAGGGCCATAGCGCAGGGGCTGACCTCGAGTTCAGCTTGTCAGGAAACCCATCAATCAGTGCTGCAGAGCACAGTCCACAAAGGGCTTAGAGGCTGTCTTATTTGCTGTACTGTGCTGGGATACTCCTCTCCCTGGTGGTGGTTGTTCATTAGGAGCAGCCTGATCTTACAATCTGTCATTCTTCGTTCTGGAACTCTTCTGTTGGTGGAATACAATCTTTTTAACCTTAATTTTGACTGACACTCTCTGCTTTTCTCCCCAGGTCCTGGTGAAGCCAACAATAGTCTCATTTCATATTTTTTTTTGCTGGCTTGCTTTCCCCAGATAAACGCTGTTGTGTTTTGCTCGAGGCCCAATAGTAGAATGCTCAGAATAAAACCTTTTTTTCTTCTCTTCCTTGTTTTAGGCAACAAAGGCAATTAGGAGATGAGTTGGTTTCTGGCTTTGGGAATCTTCAGGCTCGGCTCTGTGCTGTTACCTTGCAAGCAGGAAGATGTCACATGAATTGTGACAGAAGTATCTCTCACTGTTCTTAGTGGTGAGGAAATCATCCAGAGCTGTCTCCTGAAATCGAGGTCTTGATTTCTGCAGCTGTTTATGACTTGTAAATTGTCTTACTGATGGAACAAGATGTATGATCATTTGCATGAAGGGTTAAGTCTTAAACTGTCCTAGAGAGTATTCCTCAGTTAGCACAGACCAGTTAATACGTTTTGAATTACTGACTGATTTCCTACTACTAAGCTTTTTACTTACATAATGACTCCATTTGTCTATGATGGAGCTGAGTTTGCCTTACCATGTACTACTGCCATGCATTTTGGAAGGTGAGGTTTTATCCATTTTTAAATTAACAACCATAGCCCTTAAAATCTGGCCTTTTGTTCTTTGGACTTGAACTCCATGACAGTAGAGAGCTAACTGAGCTTTTACTGAGGCTAAAATTCTAAAAGGTATTATACCAGCTATAAGGCCTTTGCAACTGCTGTGTTGTGGGGTGTCAGTATCAATTTAAGAATCATGAAGGGATCGGAAATGAGAGACTTGAGAACACTGGAGAATCCTGTTTTAACTGGATAAATAGTTTTGTGACGGATTAACCAGATGTTAGCTGGAAGTAAAAGGCTGAAGTAGAGAACATGTACTCAAATTGCTATCCCTGCTGGTACTTAACCACATCAGTCTGTCAGAATACAGAGTGGACAGAGAATTGTGGCAGTGAACTTCACCTCTGGGAAAAAAAGAAAAAAAACACTTGGCATCTAAGGCCTGAATGTATCGGCAGAGACCCATGTTGTTGTGCCCTAAAAGAGCTTTTCTTTTTTTCCTGGCTACACCAAATTAGTTCTATGCTTAATGGTTGAAAACACAGTTCTGCTTAGATTTCTAGAAGCACATTTCTGGAGGCCAGCCTAATAAATCCCCTTGCACTTGGTACCTGGGAAAAATAGCTCCAGTCTTAGGGTGCGTGGGAACCTGTCTGCTGGCACTGTGATGATGACTCTCTGCCGTTTACCCAACTGATTTCTGTGATGAGTAACACTATCTCTGATGTGCCAGCTCGTCAGTAGGTGGCAAATCAAATGGGATAAACCTTTTGTTTCTGATTTGATTTATTCTAATCTTTCAAAGGTTATCAGATGACTTTCTCCGCTGACTTCAAGCTGTGTATAGCCAACAGCAGACTGTTGATTTCCAGAAGTATGGGTGTTTAAGAAGGTAAGTTGTTTTTCTGCTGTGATGCTACAATGCTGAGGCTTCAGCAAGCTGTTCACTAGCTGGGAGAGCTTGCTAGCCATATTTGCTGCTGCATGCAGTTGTGCCAGCTTACAGTGGCTTAAGATGTGGCCTGTTACTTAAGCTTTTAGACTGCTGCCTGACTTTGCAGTTCTTACTCGTGATCCTTCTACAAGAACTAAAGTTTTTGCTTAAGTTATCACATAGGTAAAGCTGGGGAGAGGAAAGAGTAAAAAGTTGGGTTCTTTTTGCTGAATATTGTTCTTCTAAGGATATGTAGTCATATGTAGTCCTTATGGCTTAAGCAGAATTCTTTTCAGAATTATTTCTGATAAGTCTATTACAAAAATAGTTGTGCTGGCATAATGATGATATCTTTGCCGTTTACCCATCTGACTGGTTGTTGATGTGTATCATTGGATCTGAAATGCCAGCACGGTTAGTAACTTTGTATAATTTCATATGAGATTAAGCTTATAGAAAAGTGGCTAAATTTGAAATGCTTTGGCTTTTTTTACAGGTTGAGAACAGTGTGAAAAGTGGATTTCTAATGCACTTGGAAATGCTTTGCTGGCCCTTCTTGCTTCTCAGAAGCACTGCTTGATTTGACTGTGCTCTGGGTGAAGTCCTGTGACTTGTAATACCATGCTGAAAGGAAGAAGTTGAGTAAGATGGAGTTAGAGTTTAGATGAAAATGTGAATAATGCCTGAATGAAGTTCAAGTGAGAGTGGAGTGAGAAGTAGCCCTTCAGACAATGTTAGAACTCGGTATGAATATTCAAGTGCAGTCAAAATTTGATTTCAGGGTTAAAACACAGGAGATTTTGTTTTCTTGCCTAAATTAGTGTATATAATAATGGTAGAAGCTGTTCTGCTCATTTTCAATGCAATGCTTGTATAAATAAAATCCTGGATTTATATTTCCAATGGCTGTAGTGTTTTGTTAAGGCTGTGTAAATGGTAGCACCGTGATGTTGCTGCATGACCTGTGCCGAAGTTACAGCAAGCCCTCAGTATTTGTTCAGTTTATCCATCTTCGAGTAGAAGTCTGTCCATTTTGCTGCTGCGTTTAATGTGGGCCTCTGATATAAAACTTGCCCAGTGTTGTGCTACAGCTGCAGCATTGGTAGGAGGAGAAAGCAAGAGAAGGCCCTACTTAGAACAGCGTACCCACTGTATCAGTCTTCACACTCATTTTTGCAATGAGGCAGTTAGGCTGGAACTCCTTGAGCTGCCTCCTCCCTGGTGGGCCTACTAATAATTTTTTTTTGCTCTCCTGTCTCCAGTGTCCTTATCTAAGCTTTATTTCAGATTGCAGGAGCATACCTGCATCCTGTGCTGACATGATGGTGCTGTAATGTAAAACTGAGATATAAAGCAAGAAGCAGTATGGTGATATAAATCTTAAAATTTATAGTACGTTATATAGTACATGAATAACTTGAAGTTGTCTTACATCAGTACTGTTTTTTGTAGTGTATTTAAACTATTCCTTGTTGGATAATGCATTTAAAAAGAAGCAACAGGAAAAAGTACAGTTCACAGTTGAAATGAAATACAGTATTCAGCATTCTTGGTTTAAATGTTAGTTACTTTATTAAAAACTTGTCTGTGTTCATCCAGTTAAATCATAGTGGTAGCTGGGAATAGAAGTTCAGATTCTGGCTTTATTCTGAAGCCGTGGCCTTCCAGAATAGAAACATCACTTCTGTCTTTCTTCAGTGTTACCAGGAAACTTCAACTAAATCCTATCAGCTATGCTTTATTTCTTTGCAAAATAGCACTGAAAATAGTTGTCTATTTTTCTGTAACTGCAGTGCCAGAAAGCTGAAGTAGAAGCTTCGGACTCGCAGCAGAGTTCATTCTTCATTAGTGCTAACGTAAGTCCCTGGGCTATATGCACCAATAAACTGAAGCAGTTGATGGTGGCACTGCAGTAAGTAAATATCTCTCTGTTGGAGGCTGTTTTCATCACTGAGGTCGAATGGAAATACTGCGTTTGGTTCTATGCACAATGCTGACTTACCTAAGCAAAGAAGAAATCAGTTCAGGCCTTAGGAGGCTTGGCAACCTTTGGCCAGTATTTTTAAGGAGTGGAGAGGAAAAAAAAAAAAAAAGCTGCCGTGCAGATCACTTAGTTCATTTTGTGAGTTAGTACTTCTGTATTACATTGTGATTCTGTCACTGCCAAATTTGTGTGTGAACAAATGTGACATGATAATGAAAACATTTCTTCAGGGAAAGAGTTCTGCCTAGGGTTTAACCTGGACCGATGCTAAAGCAGCAGAAGTGTCTCCAGTGTGCTATCGTAAGGATAGAGGCTTGGTGCTGTTTGGGGCCTCATTATGGACAGTACTGAAGCACACCACTGGAAAGTCAACTGAAAGATCTCAGCTTTCACTTGAAATGAAATACTTCTGTTACTGCAATTGACTTAAGGTAAGTTTTTTTCAAGCTGACAAAACATGAAAACGATACACCCAACACTAAAGACTGCCTCACCGTATTTTAGGGTAAGAGATGACTCAAACAACAGGATGGCAATCAATGCGTCTTCCTCAAGGACTTTCTTCCTCAAACTCAGTTTAGTATGAGCTTTGGACAGTGAAATCCTAAGAGATGAATGTAAGCATGTCAGAATGGTTGAAACAATTGCAGAAATGAAGAGGTTGCATATTTTTCCATTGCAAGCATTTCTGTAAATCAAGAGGTAACGCTGTACTTCTTGCTTTAAAAATAAACTTATGTAAGAGAAAGCTATGAAAATGTAAACCCCATTTTTATTTTTCTAGACAGCTTTAATGGGAAAAAAAAATTGAAGAAACATTGAGTCTAAGAAATAGTTCATTCTTTAAATAGTTCATTTTTTAAAACCAATCCTATAAGGTGGTATTCATTAATGTTAAGATACTCTTTATACTTGAACTCTTCCAAACTCAAACAATGTCTGCATTTTTACTTAATAAATTGAGCTGGTTAGCAGTTTCTAATGGAAACTGAGATGTGTTGCGATGAGCATTGGACATACAGGATTTTTAGTGCAGATGCTGATAATTTCGATCCACGCAAAGAATCTCTCCTCACTCTACGACTTGCAAGATAGTAGCCCTGAATGAGGTTTTCTGCTTCAGAACTCAGTTGGACATGAAGATTCTTTGCGAATGAAATAAACTAGAGAGAAGGTAAAAAATTTTAAACATTTAACTGTGGGAAATAAATAATACACCTTTTTTTTTCATACCTTTTAACATACTGGCATAGTAAGAGAGGTAAAACAGTGTATTTCACCATCAATTTTTGTAAAAAGCTTGTCACTGTTCAGCTATGCATAAGGGTAGATTTTAGATACTGGGCTGAATTACCAGTTACAGAATTACAGGGATTGGAAGGAAGATGAACCTGCTAAAGCAGGTTCCCTATTGCAAGTTAATTGTATTAGAAATACTGACAGTTTCTTTAGAATGAAATACTAATTTTTATAGAATCAGAGAATGGCTTGGGATGGAAGGGATCTCAAGGATCATGAAGCTTCAACCCCCCTGCCTCAAAGAGGGCTGCCAGCCTCCAGATCTAATACTAGTTCAGTACTAACTAGTAAATATTTCACACTAAGTTTTATGACTGACTATAAATTGTTCTTCTTAAAAGCAAGTATTAGAGGGCTGTTCTCATAGAAATGTTGACCCAGCATGCTTTTCAGAAGGCAGGTGATGCTGAATTTATTATGCCAACTCTGACAGAACTGAAGCTAAGTAAGTTTCCTGATGATCTTCTCAGTGCTGGGGGGCAGAGGTACAAGGTGAATATTGACAGGTTTGAAAATAATCTGTCAGAGTATCAGGACAGAACCTTCTGATTCTAGGAACAGGATGATATTTAGGAGCAAGTTTCTCACACAGAGGGAGGTGACACACTGGAACAGGTTACCCAAGGAGGCTGTGGATGCCCCATCCCTGCAGGCATTCAAGGCCAGGCTGGATGTGGTTCTGGGCAGCCTGGGCTGGTGGTTGGCGACCCTGCACACAGCAGGGGAATTGAAACTAGATGATCATTGTGGTCCTTTTCAACCCAGGCCATTCTATGATTCTATACGATTCCAAGTATAATGCATTGCTAAATTATTAGATAATAACTAACTACCTCTTCATAATCCTGTGTTCTGAACTGCTGTGAGACTCTGTACAGCATGGCTTCAGGATTAATGGCTTTTTGCAAGACATGATGCACTACAGGAAAAGACAGCTGACACAAAGGAAATTCATTGTATATCAACAGCCCAAAAACATCTAAAAGATTAGGTGGAATCAAACTCAGGTCCTGAAGAGAAGTTCCAGAGAAGAAAACAAATTATTATGGAATTTTGACTATTAGAAACATTGCAATTTTTTCAGTCTGCAATATTCAATATCCATATGCCAAAGGGTGCAAGAATAGCTAATGAGTTATCTATAATATAAGCAACATAATTGTGTTTCAGTAGTAGTTGTCAAAAGCTATTGTGAATAAAATAAATGGCATTTACTTTTGGGAAAGCTAGCTCATTTTAGAAGATACTTGATTTAAAGTCACTTAAGCTGTTTGTTTTCATTATTTCCCAAGCTGAAATAACAATAACCAGAAATAACTGTCAGTTGCTTTACCATCTGCCCAATTAAAAAGCTGTCCCTTGCTGTCTGTTTCTTTGGGGAAGAACCCACATCTACATAAGACCAGAAGTTGGTCTGAACTGAAATAGTCACTTGTTGGTCAGCCTCTTCTCCATACTTCTTCCCAGGAATGAACAGCGTTGTCATCCTGCTCTCTAGCACTAGGAGAGGACAAAAAACATCAGTGATGTGATTGATGTAGTTTGACTATAAATTCTAGTTCCAAGCACAGTAGCTCAAAAGAGTCATTATTTTATTTCACTGAATTTGTCTTAAGTTTTGGCACTTCCACACCAGCAGTTTTGAGGGCTGAGTGTGTGAGTGCCTAAATCTGTTAAAGGCTAGATCACATATCCTGCAAGCCTGATGAATACACTTCTCATTCCACCTTACTGTAGTGCTTGTTTTGCCAATAAATGGATCCCTGTGCTGGAGCCTGTATAGCAAATGCAAGCTTACAGGGTTTTGCCATTTTTAACCTCATTTCTTTCAGACTTGTTAAAAATAGCTGATATTTTCCAAGCATTTGAGGGCCATAAGGTGAGGAACAGACCTAGCTGAGGCGTTATGTTTGTTTCATTCTGTCCCCTCATTTGTTAGTAGATATGAAATTACCGGATTGCAGGAGTTCAAGTTTATCCTTCTTGTATGAAGAGAAGTCTCCTATGTAACAGATACCACCCTGAGCCAGCAGAGCACTGCAAGCTTGAATACTAGCACTTCCAGTTCCATGTTTATCTTTGGACACAGAAGGAAAGATGTCACTAGAGGATGGGTGGCGTATGCCACGAGGCAGGAGACACAGGCTGTAATTCAGAAGCCTAGAGGATTAAATAATTGTCAGTCGTAAGCTGTCAAAACATTGCTTAATTTTTCTAAATTAACACTGTTCTTAACATGTGGTAGTGATAGATGTATCAAGATCTACCTTTAAACAACAACAAATTTAAACCACTGTCAAGACTACATGTGTAAAATATACTTCAGTACAAATACAGAAATCTAAGCCCCAGGAGGACTGCATTTCTGATGATTTTAACATGAGGCAAACCATGGCTTGTAACAGAAGTAATACCTAGGAAATCAAAGAAGTCCCCAAATGTAACCCCATGCCATTAATGCCTACTCCTGTTCTAGGGCAAGGCAGAGGATTCATAATTCTCTTGGCCATTGGGGGAAAAAAGAAGAGGCTGGTAACTTCTAGGCTGCAGCCACCTGGGTTACATCCCCAATTCTTTTTGAGAAAGGAGAGTGCTCAATTTTTCATTTTTTTTTTAATCTCCCCTGCACTATATTCCTTGGCACACAGTTACACACTGCTTGGGTCCACAGTCAAAGGCTCCTTATGATTTTAAGATGTTAAAGCATGATTTCTTCTCATATTAAGAAACAGCATAAAATTATTGATTAAAATAGTAAGCATTGGTAAGTTGGCTGTTACACTGATCCCAAGATGTTACACTGATCCCAAGATGTCTACTTAGACAGGTTAACGATAACAGAATACTGTGTGCATAGCATGGCACCATGTAAGCTTCTCTGAAGTAACTCTGCCCCAAGCAAGCCAGGACATAACTGAAAATTAAGGTAGCTGAGAAGCTAGCAATGGAAAGGCTTAAAGTGACACAAGATTTGAGAAGCAGACAACTTCACTTTCATAATCACCAGCTTTTGGAGCAACCTTAGTTTTGATTTTAGAAAAAGGTTTAGTTTGACCTCTGCTAAATAGTGCCAGTCTTAAAAGCTTACAGAGATCATTATGAGACTGTTAGGGGTATTTATTAGCTGCAATCCTATATACATCATTTGAAATAGAGACGTTTCATGGTTATTGTTTAGCAAATCAGAACCCTTTATATGCCTTTTAAGCCTCATCTCTTGCTTTTGATGTAGGGCCAATCCTATTGTCTTAAAACAGTAAAAATAAAAAGAGTTAAGGAATCTCTTTACCTATCAATTATTAGAGTGTCACTTGTCACAATCAGTAGATCGAGGTAATCTGCATTTTCTATTTCACACGTCTGTACCAGACTCAGTAATATTGCCAATTTAAGAGTGTTGTAAGTGCCTGGTGGAACAACTTGAGAAGCAAAAATATTGGCAAGCATGGCTGTAAACCTCCAGCATGAACTTGAGGTCAGTGAGAGTAGATACTTAAAATTCTCACCGATGAAAGAAGGACCTATGTGAAACAAAATAGAGATTAACAAGCACTTAACAGAGCAGTGCAGGCACATTAGAATACATTGCCATTCGAGTCTTTATACAAAAGCTTACAAAGAACTAAGATATTTTTGCATTAAACACAAATTCAGAATGTAAACAGCAGACAGCTATTCATTTTACTGCTCTAAAGGCCGCAGACACGATCTACTAAAACCAATGGGGATAAGAAAGGAATAAGAAACTCAAATATTGGGTCAGTGTCACACATGATTCCCAAGTAGCTTACAAGTGGCAAGGGAAGTTGGGAAAGGGAAGCTGAAGAATTGCAGTAAATAATTATGTCACTTCCCAATGCATGGAAAGAGAAGTGGGGAAGAGACGTTCTCAGCTGACTGACTGAACCCATTCCCAGTTAGAGGAAAGTCCCACCGTGGTTTTGCAATCCAGGCTTCTAGATAACAAAAAGTTCTCAAGATTTTGCAGAAAAAAAAAAAAAAAAGTTTTTCAAAATTTTAAGTCAATTCTAATTGGAACTTCCTTACCATTTGGTTTACAGAGCTCTACACTACTGACTTCTATAAATGCTGTAGCTTGTGGGCCATTTTGTACACAAGCTGGAATTCCTATGATCTTGTAGTGGTTTCCTATTGTCATTCTATTGGCCAGTTCATCTGGAAATGAAAAACAAAACGTGGGGGAGACCTGAAGATGTTTTAGCTAAGAAAAAAAAAGAGTGTTAAAGACACAGTCAGCTTTTCTAAACTGCTTTCATTTCTTACACGTAGTTGCTGAAAACAACAGTTGGAATCCAGGTTTACCATTGTGGAGTAAGGAAGGAGAGTGGGTGAGTAGAAGTAAATTCCTGATAAAGAAAATGAATGATTCACTTGGTTCTGCACTGAAAAGAAAATGGACAGCTGTTTGCAAGTATATTCCAAAGCTTGTGGTTCCACCATTGTTAGTTACTGTCCTATAAACATGACAGGAAAAAAAAAAACCAAAAACCCACAAAAAAAGTGACCACATTACACATGACAAATTGCAAAGATTTCAAAAAGATACACACACAGCTTTGGGAAGCTCTGTAGTTCTGTGCACTTTATTCAGAAGTCACGTTTAGTTTTCAGAAGTGAGAGCTGTGTCCAACTAAGTGTGAATCTCAGCCTGTAAGATCCTGTCTAACTGCACTGCTCACTGAAGCCAGGAGAATTTCAGTACTTGCACAATTCACAGCATCACACCAACATAACAGTACATGCAGCGCTGCCATTCTATCTCATGATCTTGGAGCTACTGTGAGTTTTCAAGAGATGAGCTGTATGATTCCATAGACACTGGGTATCAGATCAAAGCGTAATGTTTTCTGGCTTAGATAAAATCATTGGAAATATGATGATGAATTGTGATTTAGTCAGGTATTCACATTAGAAATCATTTAATGTTTCCAGTGGAAAGCAGTGGTAGTAGAAGCCAAAAATCCTGATTGAATCCGGAAACCAGCTAGATTGAGGAAGGATGTCAAAAACACATGAAATGGGTGCAAAACAGCAGGACCAAAGGAAGTAGAGAGGAGGAAAAAACAAGCTTCAACTAGAATGTAATGCAGCAGAGCTGGCCAGGGGATCTTACTTAAATGAGGACATAGAAGTGAACACCACAGCTATATATTATTCTCTGCAATCATTTTGTGCCTGCATTAGGCAGGTGACGACCCCTCCCCCCCCCCTAATTTTTTTTAGAGAAAGAACCTCAATATAAATTACCATGACTTTCATCAGTTTATTCAGAGAAATGAACCTGTAAGGAAGTGCAGGTAATTGTCACAATTCATTTCTAAAATATTTTTAGCAAGTCTGAGAATTGAAACTCAGCATACCTCTCAAGAAAACTGTAAAAGTCTGAATCCTAAAATGCGATTGATGGTCGGAATATCCTTTTAAAGCATGAAGAACTTTGGCATCAATCATTTCAACTATCTGTTTATCTTTCAGAAAAAAAGGCAAGGAGAAGGTTAGTTGTCCTGAAAACCAAGCTTTTTTCTTTTTTTTCTTTTTCTTCCCTCTAGGAGGCCAGGCTGGATGGGACTTTGAGCAACCTGGTCTAGAGGGAGGTGTCCCTGCCTAAAACAGGGGGGTTAGATCTACATGATCTTAAAGGTCCCTTCCAACCCAAACCATTCTATCATTCTAGGATGACTGCTATCTTTTGGGGCTGTTATCCCCCACAGCCATTTTTGTTTATGTACTGTGTATCAGAAGTAGGGGAATAACAGACCCAGAAATAAAACTACACAGTTCCTACCACCAAGTACTCTGAATTTCATATCTTCCTGCAGTGGTGAGGAACACAAACTGCACACAAAGTCATTCCTCACTGTGGCAGATTCTGTAGCTCCAGGCAGATGCACCCTAATGTACCTAAACCCTGAAAAAGAAAAAAAAAAAAAAAAAGTTTAGTAAACATTTATAATGAGAGCACGGTTTTCATTCTGCATTTCACATTAAGCACAGAAGTAACTAAAAACTGGGCCGGGAAATTCCGAATTCACAAGCGTGTTTCCCGCACGTTGGCCGCCAGATGGCGCCGTGCCCCCATCGCGCATTCCCCACCGCGACTGCAGGGCCTGACTCCCAGCAGCGGAGCGCCCCTATTCTGTGTCGTGTGGGAATGACACCGGACAGATACATGCTGTATATACGCGCCTTCACAAAGACATGCGCCCATAAAGACTGCGTAGGAAAAGGACTCTCACGATAGGTTTTCAATCTGGTAAATTATCTAAATTATTAAAGAGCTCTTCAGGCACTGAACGGGCTGCCCGGGGAGGTGGTGGAGTCACCGTCCCTGGAGGTGTTTAAGAAACATTTAGATGTTGTACTGAGGGACGTGGCTGAGTGGGGAAATGTTGGTGGCAGGTGGATGGTTGGACTGTATGATCTTGGAGGTCTTTTCCAACCTTGGTGACATTACAGTTCTATGAAATAATATTAATTTCTTCTACTACTACCTTCAGAGAATGGACAGGTTTCCCCAGTGCAAAGAAATCTTGCTCCTTGAGTGTATTTTGTGACAGTTCCCATTGCAATCACTATTCCTTCAGACATATAAAATCTCTTAGATGTGTAATTAAATGGAAATGCAGAAAGACTGAGAACATAACTCGGTAATGGTGGTAAATGTGTTGGTTTCAGCAGTATGCTTATCTAACAAGAGACACGATGACATTGAAATAAAAATATATAGATTAAATATATTAAAATGCTGTTTATAAATTCACTGTGCTTACATGAAGAAATGCAACATGGTGTATAAATAGCTTTTAGGAAAAGAAAAAGAAATGTATCAAGTGGAAAAGCAATCATTTATGCCAGGATTCTTGCAATATGTTGAGGTGAGACTTGCACTATGTACAAAGGATAATACAACCAAAGGGAATATAAAGGCTGAAAAATTAATACAAAAAATAATCTTTGCTAATACTTCACCAGACTTAAAAGATTTAAGATCTAACTGGGGAAACAGTGTAGACTCACTTGGGCCTCCGTCTGTAACTGTTCAATTAATGATAATGTCTTAATAGCTATGAAACATACCTGTAATTGAAAAATAACTTCACTTTAGAAAGGAAAATCTAGTTAAAATAGAAAAGGATTATTTTTTGTCAGCCCTGACCACAACTATAAACTTACTGACTGAAAAATCCCTGCAGCTTTCATGGGCCTATGAAGAATGTAGTTTCCAAGAGTTGCATCCAGTTCAGCAACATCAGAAGGGTTTATTGAAATAACGAAACGATACACAGCATAACTTTGTTTTGAGTCTGCAGGAGCAAAAACGGTCTTAAATATTACAGAGGTTTGCTTAACAATACTTACCAATGTTAACAAAATATCTACTGAGTGAGCAATACCGTTGTATTTTTTGCAATCGTGCACGAATTTCTCAAGGCCACCACTTCGGTCAAGGTAAATAAGGATAATTTCCTTCATTTTCTGTATCTCTTTGTGCATCTTCCAAAAAGATCTTTGGACTCTTAATGAGAATTCTGGAATAAGCTGGAAAGAATTAGTTCAGAATTGGCCATGCTACAATAACAATAAATTCCTAAAATGCTCTACTATTCCTCTTATTACTGAATTATTGCACCACCCAACCCTGACCCATCAAAATTAAAGGCAGCATTTAGCCCCTCCTCTCCTTAACTCCCCCCCCAGTCATTGGAGCTAAAGTGAGACATATATAGAGAGCTATGAAGGCTGTCACAGTTGAAAACATGAAACTGAGGAATCATTTGTTTCTTACATTACATTTTCCTTGTTTGCTGTCACCTCCTGTAGCATCAATTTAAGGTGCAGATCTTGCAAACATCAGTATACACTGGTGATCAATTCTTATTCCTGTAGATAAAACTTTCAAGACCACAGAGTTGATCTAGAAGGTGACCATACTCTTGAGTGTTGTTTTTATTGCATACTGTTCACATATTTTCAGAGTAAATCTCAGAACTTCTCTTATGAATTTAGAGGGAGAACTACTAAGGCCAAAATGTGGCATTTTGTATACACACATCTGATGTCCCTGTTTGTTGCAAGGGAGCTGGACCGGATGACCTTTAAAGGCCCTTTCTAACTCTAAAGATTCTTTGATTCTATGATCTTTTAATGGTCACACAGACTTTATTTTACAAATTACCATCTGTCTTTTCTAAAGGTAACCGATATGAAACACCACTTAAACCTTCAAAGAGACATAGCTACCTGGCATAGGACAAAACTCAGCATTAAGAGGCTGAAGAGAAAGAAAAGCTCTTCATTTATGAACGATTCATGGCGGGAGGTCACAGAAGTCGGTTTGGAGGACAGACAGACGTGGAGAGAACAGGGTACCTGAGGTGCACCTGTATGGCAGCAGCAGAGAACTTCTTGTCAGTTGTATGCTGTGGGTGGGCTGGAAGATGCGTCCTATCTGGCCTGAAGCATCACATTTTATGCACAAATTGAAGGAGAACTTACATTAGGATTTATTTTTCAGTTTCTTTAGGATGAATCCCACGCAACTACCGTTCCATCCCTTCAAACCTTTTACAAGACATTAAAGTCCAGCTGAAACCACGGCCTCTCCTGGCCCCCACCGCCCTGAGGTCACTCTGCGCGGTGCTCTGCGCCCACAAAGCAGAGACACGCAGCACAGCGAGGACAGCCTGAGGACAGCCCGCACCACGGCTCACGGCGTTCTCCACACGCTGCCGCTCCCTGAGTTTCACAGAGCCAAGCGCAGCCTCTCACAACCACCGCATCCCCCACGGTCGCACTCCGCTGCCTCACGGCACCGCGCCTAACACCTCCATCGCTCCCAGCTGCCCCATCATTGCCACCACCCTTTCTCTCAGCCCAGGGCTTCCCTTCGCCACGCGCCAAAGCTTTTGCCGCTCTCGCCGCCCGCTGGCGGGCTCGGGGGCAGCACCAGGCGGCCCCTCAGGAGCTTCGTGAGGGGAAACGCGGCGCCGCGCGGTCAGTCCTAACGCTCCTCCGTCAGTCACAGATGGCACCTCCCCTTCTCAAGAACCCGCCGCAACGGGAATACCACCGCGGTTCCCACGTAGGCTCTCCTGCCTCGGATTTACCACCACCATTTGAGATTTTACTTCTCAACTCAGGGTTTGTGAAGGGCCCACCCCACTTTCACCATCTTACTATGAGAAGTATCGTCACGAAATGCAAAGACATACAGAACAAGAGCGCTGATCTATAGAAGTATGGAAGGGTCTGCTGCTCTGCCTTTGGCGGTCCTGATCTGACTGGGGCACTTCACGACATGGAAGAGAATGGAAGGAATAACAGAGCAGAGCATTTCCAGTGAAAAGGAACACATTCACACCAAAAAGCCATAAGAAAGAAACCCCAATAAAGAGGGGAGAGAGGAGAGCCCACACGTGGTCAGGAAGCTAGTTACAGCCATTTCTGAAAGGATAGAAAATGAAAGGGTGCAGAATATACCATACTGCAACAATTTCTGCCTTCCAGCCCATTAGAAAGACGTACTTTGCTGCCAAATGATTGTAACTGCAATTCATGTAAGTATAATAACTGGCTGTTCTGAACAGCTGTGTAGCTGTTTCAAACTTCTCAAAACTTCAGTGTGAAAGGACAGGAAATGAGCACAGAGCCACCAGTCCCCTCCCACAAACGACACAGTTGCTTCCTTCTTCCCATGCCAGCGTTAATTCCTACTTGCTTTACCCAGCCACTCCTTCCCACACCTCACACAGCAGCTACTCAGCATTACTTAGGCATTACGTGAAAGAATGAAAAAAAGCAAACAATCCTGGTTTAGCTTCTACTTGTCTCATGCTTTGCTGCTGACATCATTAATTTCAAGAATAATTACAATTTTGCTGACAGGTTGATAGTTCCCTGGGTCATCCTTTTTACCCTTCTTAAGAAGGCAATGCTACATTGCCTTTTTTTCCAGTCACCAAGGACTTCACCTGACCACCATGCCTTCTCACATATCATTGAGAGCAGCTCAGTGACATCAGCAAGGTCCCTCAGGACTCTGGCTGCTTACTGTGCCCTATCAGACTTCCCTCAAACCAAGGCTTTCAACTGAATGTATTTACGAATAACAAAACCAAACCAAAACACCAAACACACCACAGAACAATTATGAAGGAACAGACAAAAATAAGTTGTTATTTACAGGTGATATACATAATAATACTACTACCTGCCATGATAAGCTTTTACGCACTAACAGCAGTTTTTGCATTGTTAAAAGTTTTCCTTACACCGAAGTTGATCAGAATGATCAGTTTCTCCATACATGTGTATGTTATGAGAAATACATTAACTTTTCACATTTCTAAAACTATAAGCACAATTTACTTTTTTTTTTCCCCTCAAATATCAAGTGAAGATTTAAAAATGGGACACAAAGACAAGTAGCTATGCATGTTGAAATACAAGTGATTTGGAACATATTAGTGCTTCCAAATATCAATCAGTGAGAAAAGTACTAAATGTTTGGCGTGATCCCCTCACCATCCGCCACAGGAAGGTTAAAGTAAGATAGCCTTTCAAAGTAGCACTGATTATTGCGTATTGTATCTTTGGAAAAGCAGAGTTTTAACCAAAAATATTTTTAATGCAGTTGAAATACAGACACATTTATCCCAAGGAGGAAAAAAGGTAGAACTCATGATCAGTGAAGTTAACAAATGAATAGCTAATTTGTTCCATCCTTGCTTTGAGTAATCCTGCATACTTCAAGTAATCCAGTTCAGAGACGCAGGTACTCCAGCAGACACAAAAGTGGCAATCTAGTTTTACATACCCGATTTTTCATTCTACGTAAATCCTCCAAGCATCTCAGTCTTAAGTTAAGTCTTCATTTAAGTGCAGACAGGTTAACAAAGTTCATACCAATGTAACAGGGAAAAAAACATTTACCTTTTTTAAACCAGGATATACAAAAGATAATTTGCATAGTTACAATTCAAGCACAAAGTCACTGTAAATAGGTACAAAGGCATTTATAAATTCACTAAATACGCTGCTGCTTGTGCCGGCATTATCTTAGATATGTACGAATGTAAACCTGAAGGGACTGATGGGAACAGTCAGTGTTTTTGCTTAAAAAAATACGTTAATGTAGAGAATGTTACTTAACGTTTTTTAAAAAATATTTTCTGCAGCAGGAATAAACAGTTCAAATCCCAAAGAAAGCCATCCAAAAATGCCCAAATTCCTTCTATACAGCAGAGAACGTTTCTTCATAGGTTACAAATCTATATACAAAATGAGGCACTAGTTACACTAATTTGGAATGTGTTCATAATGTTTCAGTTCATCCCAAGACTCCCAAAACAGCGTCGGCTTCTAACTTCCTAGGAAAACATATCTTCAGAAGGTGGTGCGTAAGAAAACCCAACAAACGCATCATCTGCCTCTAGGACACTGGCATTAACAATGCTGTAATCAGAAGAGATGCAAACTGAATATGGGACCATTTCTTCTGTAAACACCGCATCGAAATTCCCAATATCATCTGGGCCAACCTAGAAAACAGAACATCTATCATTTCTCACATTAATTCTGTATTTTTTGAATTGTACTATTCTTTCCTATTTAAGTATATAAAGCCTAAGGAAACCTACCACAGCATCCCTGAAAGCATTTATTAGAAGCTTGCTTGTTTTTTTCTGGGCCAGGGATCAAGCCAAGAGCTACACAACATTTATGACACAATAAACATAAGAAATAGTAAGAAATATTTTCTTTCTTAATTGACTGTTAGAGAAAAAACTGAAATAAAAACTGTATGACCACATACAGTTATCTTTCTCCCTTTTCCATCAATAATATAAAACTGTTACATTCCAGCATCAACAGTAGCTACTATAAAGTCACATCTGCAGTAAGGGACCTAAGAACTAAAGCACAATAACATTCAGTTACAGAGAGAAGAAACAAGGCAGCAAAGGTTTCTTCATCAAACAAACGTAAAACCACTAGGAAGATGAACAGGAGTAGGGCTGCAACTAAGGCTTATAAAAATAGTCTTTGCAATTTGAAAGAGGCTTATTTAAAAGAGGCTGTAAATTCTTTGGTCTTCAGACACCATAAAAAACTGTGAGTCCTTTGATGAGAAAAAAACAGAGGAAACAATGATGTGTCAAAGTGAGTTTTTAGTCAGAAAGACAGCATCACTGCTCAGAAGTGTCACTGCTCCAAAGTGCAGTCAGCACTAGGAGGTTCCCATCCACTCTGATACACGCGTATTCTTTCCAAATAGAGGAGCCTGCACAGGCACAAATTTGGCAGCTAGGAACTAAAACAGCACCTACCACGTTAGGATTAAATGGTGGTGGAATCTTCTTCTGTAGTAGGTCAGTCCAGCTGAGAGATTCAAAGAATGGGTGCTTTTGAATTTCAAGCTGCAGTAAAGAATAGAAATCACAGATGTTTCAGAAACCCATCCCATGCATCACAGTAAATGCACAAACAAAACCTAAGGAGGTCAAGTTCTGCATTTACAGTTTATTTTTCAATAAAAGCTGTAGCTGGCAAAAAGAGAATTAAAATCAGCCTGCCTCTACAAACTAGTTTCCTTTTAAAACCCTGTTTGCTGCTTTTAAGGCTTAAAAATCAATCACAAGGTGGAGCACCTTTCCCACAAAGATAAGCTGTTCAGCTTGGAGAAGGCCCTGGAGAGTCCTCATTGTGGCCTTCTAGTATTTGGGGAGGGGCTTATTAACAGAAGGGGGAATTACCTTTTACACTGTCTGATAGTGACGGGACAAAAAGAAATGGCTTTGAAATAAAAGAGAGGAGATTTAGGTTGGATGTTAGCAGGAAACTTTTACTCAGCGAGCAATGAGGTGCAGGAACAGGTTGCCCAGGCAACTTACGGATGCATCATCTCTTGAGGTGCTCAAGGGCAGGCTGGATGGAGCCCTGGGCAGCCCGATCCAGTGGCTGGCAACCCTGCCCATGACATTGGAACTGGATGGTCTTTAATGTCCCTCTGAACCTAAGCCGTTCTACGATGAGGTCAACACACTACCTAACATTAAGGCTGCAATCAGAAGACTCACGATCCATGGATGGAAGCACAGTCTTTCTAGATTATTCCTCACTGTACATTTCTGAAGTCGTCTGTGCTTCCTAGCAACATCTTTTTGCAAGTAAAACAAAGTAAAATTCACAGTTGTACTGGGAAAACATTTACTATGATTTTAAGTCTGAGGAAAAAAAAAGAAGAAAAAGCTGCTACTTGTACAGTACTGTTCTATTCTGTGTTTGAGGAACACCTTTTTATGTAGTCAGGTAAACTGATATTACCAGAAAATCGCCTTTTCGTTTGATTATTTCCTAGATTAACTAACTAACTAACCTTAGCAATTACTATGCCGGGAATTGTTTCCCTGCTGACTGGTTTGACACCAACCAAGCTAAAAATATTATATCCCACAACAATTACCCCCTTCCTACTCCAAACATCTTTCAGGACTTGATGACCACTACTGATATTTTTAAAGAAGAAAAAAGAAAAAAAACAAACAGGGACAGATATATGGAAATGCATTTTCTGTCTCCTGCTATTAAACTTGCATGATGCACTCAAATTTGTTTGTGTCTATTTAAATGAAGAAGAGCTTGATAAATTAGGAGATTACATACAAAATCTTCCCTTGCTCCAAGTCTGCTTTGCCGATCTTTCTCCAGAAGTTCCTCCAGAATGGACCAGGCTGTGAGACTGATTCCTGGACGCAAGACTAGGGGCTTGTGAAGAATATTCTCATACATCTCAGCAACGTCACGGCAGTAAAAAGGAGGCTAAAAAACCCAAATGTTACACATTAATCCAAAGCTACATCAGCATTTTGTTTCACATGCATGGACCAACAAACAAGTCTGTAAGAAGGAAACTACTAAGAGTCAAGGAAGAAATCTTAAGACACAGCTAACTTCTAATTCAGTCATTCACACAGCCAGGTCTCCATGCTTGATATCTTCCCCCTGCCACCTCCTCTTTCCATAACATGTTCTCACACTCACAGGTAACATAACTGCAGATGCCACCAAGATTCAAAGCTCCCACTGTGCTTGCCTGGAAAGAATGAGAGTGGGAAAAGAAATCTATTTCCCTACTTAATATCCAGATGTATATAACACTAGAAAGAAAAGTAACAGAACAGATTACTATTAGAGTGATTACAGATGACTAAAAGTGGTACAGTAAGACTTTTTTTTCTTTTAATATTGTATCAAGAAGCAGAAGAACTAGGAGAAATCCTGGAAGACCCAAGCCAAAATACATGTTTTAATTTATTGGGTGCTATTGCTGTTGATTCTATTTACTTCAACATCTCCCTAGTTATCACGGTTTGTCTTTAGCTGATGTCCGGAAGTTCAGCGGAAAGCAGAAGTTTAGACATTGAGAGGCAATGCAAAATCCCAAAGAGAAAAAGAGATGCTATGTTAAGACAAATCATTCATCCACTGAAGTAGAGTACTTCAACGCTCTGCAAGAAGTTAGCATCCTTAATGGCACTTTCCCACCTATATTAAATACATACCAGTCCATAAAGCATTTCATAAAGAACTGCACCAAGGCACCACCAGTCTACTGTGTTGTCATAGGGCTGCTTTTTAATAACTTCTGGTGCGAGATACTTAAAATGAAATAAAAAAAAAAGCAGTGCATTAGGATAGCAATGATAAAACCTGGGTTTTTAGGTTTTAGTCACAGTTTCAGAAGAAATCTAACTCACTAATACCATAGTACAAGCAAAGGCATTTCACAGTACATAGTACAACTAGTACATAATACAACTATTTGTTGTGGACATGTAGTATAGAATTACTGTGGCTGGATCCTTGTCATCTCAGTCGCCCCTGCACAGCGCACACACGGTTTCTAAAGCCTTCTCTCAGAACACAAGATTGCTCGCTGGTATCCACCTTCTGAAATTTAATGTACAAAATAGATCTATTTGTTAATGGACAAGGCAGGTACCATTTGTAATGAGGAGGTAAGTCACTGTTCAATGGTGTCAGCATTTCTCAAACTTCCTATATGCTTGAGTGCTCTGTACCTCATTCGTCTATAGATAACCCTACAAAGAGCATGAAAAGCAGCAGAGCATTTTGAACTAACTTTCCTAATTTTTCATAACTTTCTACATAGTGAGTTGGAAATAAGTCATTCAACTCAGTGTTCAGAAACACAGAGAATATCATTACACTTTTCACAGGATCGTGAAAGATTTTAACCTAAATCTTGGCACGTAAAGACTAATATTCAGTTGCTGTGTTTAGTCTTGGTATTTTAAAGAGCTGATATTAAGCATCCTGTTACGCTGCAGTTCATGCAAATCCACGATAAGCACAAAGCCCACACTTCTGAGCACAGGACAAAAATCTCATAGATTGTCCTCCAACAACTCCAAAACCATCACTGTTTTATACACACTGTGCTTTCCAAAACAATTCAACAAATGCTATTTCAGCTCAGATTACCATCTAAATTCCTACTCTAATGATAGCTAAGTTGTCACACATTGCCCTTTTATTTTTTTCTCCCTTTTGAGTTCAAATGTTTCAGTACATTATCCCTCACCCATCCTTTACTGCTTTCAAAGGCCTTTCCTGTAATTTGAAGCGTATTTTATCAAAATATCAAAGCCACTGCTCTTGACATCTAGGTGAATACCTCATACATTTTTAAGACTTCCAGATTCTGAGTTTTCCAGTCCATTTTTCTTAGTAAAAAGAAGACAATAGAGTCAGTAAGTTCAAAGCTTCTCCTACACACAAAATTTGTTCATGTCTCAAAGATACAAAGTGCTTCTAAACTTACTAAAAATTAATGGCAGGATACAGTAAATAGATTCCTATTGGCAAATCTGTGACAGCTGTTACACAAGCCAACTGTCTTACTTCTAGTCAGACACACGGGAAGAAACAGTATGTGAAAAGGACTGGGAAGAGGGAAGAGGACAGACAAGAGTTATGAGAATGTGGGTAGCTAAGTAGGAGATACTGAACATTAGAAGTAGTACAAAGAACAGACCTGCAGTAAACTTGTCTTTGGTTTCATGGAAGAACCCGTAAAAAGAATTTAAGTCCTCAACAACACATAACTATAAATACACACATATCTGATTTTCCGTTTACACAACCAGTAACACTCAACAACCATTTGTTACCAGCCAAAAGATGCCAAAGTCATCAACATACTTCTGGTGTCCCACAAAACGTTGCAGTAGTATCAGAACTTGCAATCCCTTCTTTACAAAGTCCAAAGTCTGTCAGCACAACGTGACCCTGTTTAAGAAACAGAGTTTTAAAAAACAGAACACAATCAACATTTACAAATCCACGTGTCAATTTTGACAGAGGACATATAAAATACAAAAACATTGCTTACTTACTAGTGAATCTAGGAGAATGTTTTCTGGTTTTAAATCCCTATTAAAAAAAAAAAACAACTTTGTATTAACTCAGAACAGCAGTCACTAACACAAAAGCTTCAAAGGCAATGACTTATTTTTCAGCTGAAAGGAAGCTTGACATTTTGGTGAAAACATTTTGTTCAAACTTCCCAAGATCATTTCATGCAGTAATTTTTATATATTAATTTTGAACTTCCACAGGACAAGAATACATTTCAGAAACCTACCTGTACACAATATTTATGGAGTGCAAGTATCCCAGTGCACTGGCTATTTCAGCAGCATAAAATCTGGCTCTGTGCTCAGGAAAGGAACGTTCTCTTTGTAAATGAAAGAACAGCTGTAAATATGCAAAGTAGTAAATAAGAAAAAAAAAATCATACACAAAACCAAGTTAATATGGTATAATTTTAACAGCAATTTTATTGAGCTGCCTACAATTTTAAGAATGCAAAATGAAATAAAATTGACAACATTCCTTCACCCACTTCCTTTTCTCTTTCACAGCTTAGAAATAAATAGACAACTTACTAACAAGGATATTCCCTTAAAAGCAAGGCTAGTCAGAAAGAACTAGAGAAAACCATGTTAACTGAGGGTGGCAAGATTCAATTCAAGATCACAGAATCGCAGAATGGCTTGGGTTGGAAGGGACCTCAAGGATCACCAAGATACAAACACTCCCACCACAGGCAGGGCTGCCAGCTGCTAGACCAAGTACTAGATCAGGTTGCAGGAGGACCTGTCCAACCTGGCCTTAAACACCTCTAGTGATGGAGTCTCCTAACAGATAGTCAGGTGCCACACAAGGAATCTTTCATTTCTGAGTATCTTTGTGTTCAGACTTCTGTATAAAAGCGTCTTATTCTGAGAGCACTTGGGGTGATGTATGTTCCAGTCTGCTCATCCCTTAATGTTCTCAACCACAGTCTTCAGACTTTAAACAAGTTGAGCATATGCACAAATCTTGCCAAAGATTAAATCATACACACATGAAACTGTACTATACGTTCAATTAAAAAAGAACAAATTCTGTTTTCTATCTGCAAAATTTGAAAGAAAATATAGCAAGCAACCAAAAATCTTACAAGTTCTTAATTCAACTTTGAGAGCTGTTTTGAACTGTGTTTTAGTTTGCCTGGAAGAATGCCAAATGAAGCAGAGTAGAGCAAACCTGGAGTTTGATCATATTCTTCTAATAAGATGACAGTACATCACACCAGAGAAAGGCCCATCAAGTGCAGATTCCAGCACTCAAAGGGAGTCAGAATCTCAATTCCAGGAGCATCATGAATGCTGCCATGTAGTCTTTATGAATATCAACCAACATAGGTCACAGTATGAACCTCACCCTGCTGTATTCACCATATGTATATCCTGAGTGTATTCAGATGCAGTGACATAACAGGAAAACCTGAGATATGCAGAAACAAACAAATGTAAATTCTACCCTTTCTTCTCCTGCCCTCTGCCAGGTGCTAGTTTCTACTATCTACAACAGTACTGCTAGAGTACAAGCAGCTTCCCTTTTAAGCATTTTTGCTGTACAGTTACTTGCACACAATCATTTTTCACTACGCTTTGTGATCTTCAATCACAACTCATTTGCTAGACAGGTCCAGGTATTATTAGCATACAATTAGCATACAATAGTATCTTTTGAAGAAATAAAAACAACGTTTTATACCCTTATCATGTTTAGTAGCTATTCAATCATGAGTTTCTTGAGCACTCCTCAAAGTACTCTGAAAAGCAACAGCTAAAGGCAAGTTGCTCCAGAACACTATTCAAGTATTTATAGACTTTTTCTAATGCTTTTAGAAGTTTTCCCTTAGGTTACTCATGGACTCCTTGTCCTCAACAGCATCACTCCAAGGAGAAGAATCCTGAGAATAAGGCTATTTGGCAGTAAGCAATTACATCTGCAAAGCCACAGAAGTATCCCAGGATTTCAAGAGAAATCATAGCAATAAAAATCAGTTGTCTGTTTGCTTGTTTCCTTCCTCACACTTTTGAAATACAAACACCTCAGATAATGCAGATGAAAAAGGAAAAGAATTTTATATGCTGAAAAATGTCAATATATGATTAATTAATAACAGATAAATTTAGGTAACTGTCAAAGAGACAGTATTTATATCTGACAATCATAAACTAATTCTGTATTAACGCTGCTGATAAGAAGAGGAACAGGGTCTGTCTAGCTATGGAAGTCTGCAGGAATAGCATCACTGGAGATTAAGTAACGGGATTTCCAAGACTTGGGAGAATACTGATCACAGCCCATTGCAAAGGATCATTTTGTTACTCCCACAGAATAACAGAACTGCAGAATAAACAGACACAAATCCAAGTAGAATCCCCACATACCTCTCCTCCGTTAACAAAATCCAGGACAAAGTAAAGCTTTTCTGTTGTTTGGAATGAGTAATGTAATCCAACTAGAAATGGATGTTTCACATTTTTCAGAAGCACATTACGTTCAGCCATGATATGTTTTTGCTGTAAGGAAGAAAAGGATCAGTAAGTAAACAGACACAATTTTGTAATGAAGGGAAAAAAGCGCGTGGAGAAAGTGCATTTCTTCATACCTCTTTCCTGTTAAGAACAATTTTTTTCTGCAGCACTTTAACAGCATAATATTTCCCATCCAGTTTTCTTTTTGCAAGAAGAACCTGCGAAATTCAAAACAAAGGAAGAAATGTTATGGCTGCAGTTCACATTCCACTGATGACTTGCTAATTTCAGCATAACTGAAAAGCATTAATGCTATGTGTCCACAATAGTCTCTTTGTTTTTAATACAGTCAATCACTAATAGTGTGATCTTACAGTTCAGTACAGTCTGTCTATACATTGATATAACGAAAAGCTAAATGCATCTCTTTGGAAAGCATCAATATTAGTCATTTTTCAGCACTGCTCAGAGTTGTTTCAGTGATGTTTGCACTGCTCCATAGCACCAGGCGCTTGAGAAGGCAGAACAAAGGAAAACACAGGGTTTGTACTCCAGCTGCATAAGCACAGGGGTACCTCCCTTCCTCCCTTGGGGCAAGAGGGGATCCCTACTGCTCTTAGCAAGAAAGGGAAACGCTGATTTTTTTAATCCCAACAAGCAACCAAGGCAGGCAACAAGTACCATGAGAAAATAACAATGGCAGGGCTATGGACAAGTAGCAACAGGAATCCAACATGGGAGTTTACGTGCCACGCATGAGACACCAGCTGGCACCCCTGCACCACAGCAAGTCACAGCAATCAGACAGCTCACCTTGCCAAAGCTGCCTTTCCCAATAACTTTCAGGAAATCAAAGTCCGTTGGCTTAGCGCTGAAAGATATTTAGGAAGGAGACAGGTCATTTGGGTACAAATTACAAGCTTCATAGCTGTACAGAAGTCTAGTGTAGCCCTTCAACTGTAATGTGAAGTCAGCACCTTTCTTAATTCTTCGTGCTAATCAACAACTGGACTTCTGCAAAGCTGCCCTTCATCCTGGAATTCCATTTTCCTCCAGAAAAAGTGACAGAGCTAAAGCATTTGAATTTATTTCTTTTTTTTCATTTTAAGTGTAAGTGCAGAGGATGAACAAGACTATTCTTCCCCCCCCCCCCCAGAGACTCAAGATTCTTCTAATTTTCAAGTCTTCTTTTCCCCATGACTCTTCCCAAAGCTTACCTCCCATTTCCAGACATCCAATCGGATTCTGAAGCTTACATGACAGAAGGAGGAAGTTTATCATTCATCCTCTTTCCTCATCCCATCCTTCCTACCATCCATTGCTTCCCCAGTTTAAAGTGACAGGAGGGAGGCCCCAACACCTTCCTCTTCTATGTGTTATTTGTATGAACTCACTGTTTTTCCATTTGCCAACTCACTACTACTTCCAGCAATTTCCACTAATTACCTCACTTTTTCCTAAGTACAATTTAGAGGTATTGTTGTCAGCAAAACAATTATGTTTTCCACCTCTGAAACAACAGTTACGACACACTCTTCGTTTATTGCCCCTCAAAGGAAGCACTCTTACAATTTCATTTCTCACTGCAATCTGTTAAGCACTTCTTCCTGTTAGCCCAGAAAAAAAAATCTGAGAGGAAAGATAAATCAAAATAGGTGTCATCTCTCAGATGAAGAAAGCACAGGGAACTGAGAAAGTAGTTTACAGAAGTAAACACCAGAGAAGCAAGTTGTTACTGCAGTGATAAAGTTTGTAATACCAACAAGTTAAGCTGCTCCTTTGCCATGCATTAAAACAAATGTGTTTTCAGAATGTTTCACATTCCTAACTGCTGTGGGACCGTTCCAGAAAGAGAGAGGGTTTTGGTTTTTGTTTATTTTTCACCACAGAATCCTCATGTGAAAGGACAGCAGACTAACAAAACCTGAAGATGAAAAGGGAAATGTCTTAACAGAGTTCATTTACTGAACACAGGATTAAATGTCTTGCTTCCTTCTGTGCAGAGAAAAGATAAAGCCACATATTCAAACCACTCTTCATACTATTAGCAATTATATTCAGTCCAATTTTTCAGTATACAGTTAATTGAAAAAACTTACTGAGGATTTCCAGATGGTCCCAAGTTGATATTCGGTGAGGTAGAATTTAACTGTTGGAAGAAACAAATAGAATACAATAAAATAAACCTTTCTTATGCTTCAACCAGTAGTAATTTCAAAATACTAATTTCTTCAAGCTATATCTTTACATCTGTTGATAGGTTTTGAAGATATCAAATATTCTGATATCTCTTTAAAGATATCTAGGATTGTGAACTTCATAAGTTTCAAGTATCTGCCCACCAACACCTTCTCACAGAACATTTCTATATACACCATATGGAAGAAAAAAGGTAATAAAATAATTACGTCCAAACAGAGAGGACAAGATTAGGAACAAAAATTTCAGACTGTGTCAACAAACAATGTTCCCCATGGAGAACTCAGACCCTTCTGCAACTGCTTTTTACCTTTTATTCCAATAACATTACTGTAGAACTCCACTGTTTATGCAAGATTAATTAAGGATATGGTGCTTTAAGAAACAAAAACAGTTTCCTCTACCAAGAAAAGCCACTAGGAATCTTTCCTACCCTGACAATAATGGATAACTCAATTCCATGAAAGGCACGAATCTCACCAGTACACGCAGATGATGGAATCTCTAAATTATGTGGACAGGAGGAAATCACCTTCATCTAAGCAACTTTCTCCAATTTGTTTTCAAATAAAAAAGCAGTTCTAGTACTCTCACTGTGCTTTTGGGTTTTATCAGAGAAAACAAACTTGAAGAACAATTTATCCGGAGACGGGCCAGCAGGCATCACAAAATGAGCACACCCACAGAAACAGAGCATGCCCAGACATCACCACCAGATGTGACAGCTGCACCAATAGTAACCAATCACACAACAGTACTCAGCAGTTTTAGAAAAGTCAGCGTGCAAGTTTCAGTACTGCAGGGATTGGGAAGGGGATCGTTCTTATTCCTGGTCACACATCTTCATCGCTTACAGCGACTACGACAGCACCCATTTCCTATTACAGCGTATCGGTTCAGCCACTAAGCACGAGTGCCCCACTTAGCTTGAAATTTGTTATGATGTAATACACTGTTAATTTTCTATGGAAGCTTTTCATGTTATTTCAAGTATTTTCAAATGAAGAGGAGGAAATCTGTTATCTAAATTAAATTCTGCTGTATGCTCACCATGCTGTCAAGTACTCAAAAAAAAAAAGCAAAAGACTGGCATTCTTTGGAAGTGAGACTTTGAGAAAACATGGTGCATTGTGTGTGTGATCCACAGCTGATTCAAATAGCCTATTCGTATATTCTGTAAGAGGACTGAATAAAAAGAGAAGTCCTAAGGCCATGAAGTAAACCAGAGAAAATAAACTTAATTATGGCACTTCTGCCTTCCTAGAAAGACTCTCTTCAATCAGCACTGTTTCTGAAGACTGTAACTTTCCCATGTTTTATACTATTCAAGACATGAAACTTTCAGACAACCCATCTAAACTGCACTTCTTTAGGGGCTTTTCTGACAGAAGAGGCTTGGTAGTGTTAAATGTGAGCTAAAGTTAAATCCAGCAACTTAAAGAAAGATTGCAACTTTTTTTTTTCCTTCATGAGAATTATACTTCACAGAATGGCTTGTGTTGGAAGGGACCTTAAAGCTCATCTCGTTCCAACCCTTAATGGCATCTCTCTTTCTTTTAAAGACAAAGAAAAAATCATTCAATTGCCTCTGCTCCTTGCCAGTCATCATTAGCAAGAGTGCTTGAGGAGACTGAAAAAACTGACAGCTAAACTATAACTCAATCTGTGCCACTTCTACTCACAGCAAGTGGGGAAAGAAGCAAGACAAAGCTCATGATCAGGATTACTTCTCTCTGCAGTTTATACTAGACAGGAAAACATCTTACAGCCTGCAGCAGAACAGTTCTGTTTAAAAGATCATGGGAGAGATTTATTGCAAAACCAACTGGTAAGCTTCTGTAAGTAATATATTTAAGATTGCTGTCAAATAGTTAAAATTTAGGAGACTGATCTATATCTATGCTTTATTACCTTCTGATTACTCCTTTCATCTTCATCTTCAGATGGATCTGACTGGTGTTTTGGATTATCCATCTGAAGAAATGCTCTGACATCTGGGCTAGAAAGAAGCACAGTTCAATACATTAGGAAACCAATAACTTGCATGATTTTCAGCCAGAATCACAGAAAGAGTAATGGCTTTGACACATCACAGTCACTAATCACAGTTTTACACTTACAGTAATTAAGGACTGTATGCAAGAAATGCTTTTACAGAAATGTAATGGCTGAGTATGCTGCATACAATATATAAGATTTTTTCAACTTGCAAAAATGTGAAATGTTGCAGTATACATATGTGAAGACTTCATGAGGGAATGGTCAGTAGGACTGCATTAAAGTAATCATTTGAAGAAAAGGCCCCATCCAAAGCATAAGTTTCAACTGGCCAGCAACCGTAAGTAAATCTATTTGCTTTCAACACTGCCAAAACAAAAGTAAAACACATCAAAAGATCAAGAAATGCATGCCCCAAGAGGTATATGGTAGTAATGTTCCTGTCCCCATCTGCTTTTAAGTGAAGCATCACAGTTTTGAAATTTCAGTGCACTCTATCTGGGCATGACAAGACAACACAAGAAATCTTTCCACCTCAGGACAAACTGCCACCCTTCAGAAACTGGTAAGAGAGACTGTAAGATTCCCATTGTACACAGGGACATGCAAGTGAGGCAAAATTAATTCCTGAATGGGTCTCATTTACAGCTATACACCACTTGAAGAGATGACTCGGGCCTTTCAAGCTCACTAAAAGGCAGATGGTTTATGCAGGAAGAAATTTCACTTAGATCTCAGAGTTTTTTCAAAAGTTCTCAAGGCAGCTGCAGTTAGGAAACTCTGCATGAGGTGTTCAGTACAAGAAAAAAAAAAAAAAAGCCCTCAAAACAACAACCAGCCCACACCCTGCACCATCAAGTTGCTCTTTTAGAGCAACAACATAGGGTAGTTTTTATATTAGAAGCAGATACCCTTATTTTGCTATTTTCAGTCTATTTTACTCTCTGCACGTCTGTAAAGCAAGGATCAGAAGTGAGAGATTAATTAGTTTTGACACTTCTCCAGATAATGTATTTCACATCAGTGTTACGGAACCTAACTCAGGTCATACTCTACTTAACACTCACAGTCTCCATTGCTTATGTTCTGTATTCCTAAACTCTGTATGGATGGAATGCAATTTCAGTTACCATTAGCCTTTCAGGAGTGAGACTGTTGACACAATTCCACAACCATTTCAGCTTACTTTTCCCAATCTTACATAAACTCCAAATTCTGATCTGTTTCAGGGTAGGTTTGGTATCCTTGGTCCCAGGAAGAGTAAAATAACTGGTTGGAAATTTACAGTAATATTGACCTACAACTGACAACAATTAGAAGTTTCAGAACCTCTGGTTATCATAAAATGAAGAAAACAAAGTTATGGTTAACATTTTTCACTAGACATGGAATTCCAAAATCTGCCCTAATTACCTTCCCACATTCATTATTTTGGGCAACTGGCTGATTAAGCAGGGCATGTTGCAATACATCTCAAATAGTTACTGTAGTAACTTTGTCCATTACTGAGTTCAGAGCAGAAAAAAAATCACTTTGTGGGGAAAGGCTGCTGACCAGTTTTGGGTATTCAGCAATTTCTGCAATGTGGAGCAGCCAGAGGCACAACTGATCAATGTTACATCGTTCACGTCTAATTTCAGAAGCTGTGAAAGACTGCAGAAGTAGTGATTAGAGTAAAGTTTAATGGACCCACTTCTTCACCAAGGTTGCAGTGTGACCATTAGCTCAGGTGCTGCATTAATTCAAAGGATTTCAAAATACACTGAAACTGTTTCTAAAGTAACCTCACATATCAAATTGGATGGATTAAAAAAAAGCATAGGTGGAATGTTCAATGCACACTGCCTATTTTTTACCAGTAAGCTGTTTGTCCCTGGACTTTTATGATGGACCGGATACATTCTGTTTATGCATCATCTCTGAAATCCACAAAGAGGTCCCAAACTCCCCCTAAATATAGTTCCCTCAGTGGCAGTACTTCTGTGTTCATGTGGGAAGGCTAACACATGCAGGCCATACAAAAAGCGAGGAGAAACATAAACAAGCTCAAGAAGTTGCAAACTTTGAAACACAATGGTACAATTAATTGGCATTGACAGAACCTAAATGTCTAAAGTATACTCCTTGGTGTGTGCTTTATATCTTAAACTGTAAAGACCCTTTTCAAAAAATGTGAAATGCTGCTATCTTTCTTACACAAAATAGTGCTCATAACTAACAAATTACCAGCTCCTACCCAGGACAGCAGTCATCAAAGGAGAAGCATTAGCAGATCTCCACTCCCTCGGAGATTTGGTTTGTTTTGTATGCTCTGCATTCTACCCACGAATGCAAGTTCTCCAACAAATATGGTTAGCTGAGCAAACACAGCTCAAAGCTGGCCCATGTAATTCCCAATTCAGTCTAAGACAAGATTCACCCAGCCCAGTATCCCACATGACAGGGACTGCAGGAAAACCCTTCACCACCCACTGCAGGGTCTCTCTATTCACTCTAGCAGACTGTAGGTTTTGTCAGGTTTACTACTGAGCAGAAAGGTTTGATTCTGATACACTATCTAACAAACAAGACCCAAGAACAAAGTCCACTGAAAGAAAAACAAAACACAGCACAGAGTTACATGTTTCAGAGAATAACGTAGAGATCACCGACACACTGAATCTGACATCTGTGTTTTTCAATTTAGACATTCAAGTGCCTTCCCTTCCAGAAGTGGGAAGCCACCATGAACTTCAGCTTTTACCGAAATCGTTTTCCCAAGCAGGACTTAAAAAGCATAAAATCTCAATATCTGTTTTAATGCTTAAAGATTTAGTGGAAGATGAGCTTCTTTACATTACTCTGAGAACATGCAGCCCCCTAACACTTCCTTGTATGTTACTAAGTTTCTGAGAGTTATTTTACCTAACATCAAATTTATTATTAAAGCAAAACAGTTCAAATGTGTATATGGGCTACCTGTAAAGACTCAGGCACTGTATACTCCTTTAGTTTCTAGCAGGTTGTGCCAAGACACTCGAGATCATCAACCTTTGGTATTTCTTGCCTGCTCATGTTCATTGGCACATAGAAAAGGCAACAGATTATGTAATTACTAACATGATTTGCTGTAATCTGTGATGCATACAGAAGCACGGCTTTGTTTCTGGAGAACTAATATGAAATGTTTTGGGACAATATTTGGTATTTGGACATACTGCCAAGAGAGTTATGCTAAATTAATAAAAAAAAAGATCCGAATCTTTTCAATAATTTAACAAAACAGATTCATCTTTAACACTTAGTTATTCTGCAGTGTTTTCTATTCTTTCCCAAAGAACATCAGTGCTATGACTGCAAAACTCACAGCACTTCCTTCAGTGGAAAACTATTTTGCCATAAAGCCTTTGTTTCAAAGTTTTTTCCACTTATCACAATGAACGTATACATGCCATTCTTTTTCTTCCAAAGAAGAAAGGAAGTACATAGTTCAACTTAATCAACATTACATAATTTGCTTGTTGGAAAATAAAATCTGATGGCAGACTTCAAACTGCAGCAATATGCTCTGGTATTTATTTCCTGTGGGAAATGGACAGTTGCATGGGTTGTACTGATAGGATAATTAAACAAAGCACATGTAGTAAAGAAACGCAGAGCTAAAGCCAGAAATAGAATGTTACTGATTTACTAATTCAAGCAACGTAGAAAGCTCCATGGCTTTATCTTAAATTGATGAGGTCTAGGTTGAAACTGAAAGAAAACTGAGGTTTACCCTCAAAATCAGTTCACACAAGTGTCCTCCTCCAAATTTGTAATGCAGAAACTGTTTGTAATTTATCACCACTTCATTACCATCCCACCGATGGAGGTTATCACACACACAGGTCTTCTGACAGAAGATTTAGCATGGAATCTTATTCATGTGTTTCAGGCAAGTTCCAAGCCACCAAAAGGAGGTGACCAAGCTACTTGGTTAAGATGCTTAAAACAAGTTCTGGAGTACACACATGAACAGCTCTAAGAAAAAGTGCAGGATCGTGGGGGTTGGAAGGGAGCTCTGAGGATCATCTACTCCAATCCCCCTGCTAAAAGTGGGTTCTGTAGAATAGGTTGCACAGGAACACATCCAGATGTGTTATGAGTATCTCCAGAGGAGACTGCACAATCCCTGTGAGCAGCCTGTTCCAGTGCTCTGTCATCCTTACTATAAAGTTATTTCCTTATGCTTGCATGGAACCTCATGTACTAGTTTGCACCATTGCCCCTTGTCCTGTCAATGCACACCACTGAAAAAAGCCTGGTCCCATCCACTTGACTCCCACCCTTTAGACATTTATAAGCATTGATCAACTCCCCCTCAGCCTCCTCTTCTCCAGCTCAACAGTCCCAGCTCTCTTAGCCTTTCCTCATACAGGAGATGCTCCAGGCCCTTCATTGTCTTTGTGGCCTTTCGCTGGACGCTCTCTGGAAGTTCCCAGTCTTTTTTGAACTGGGGAGCACAGAACTGGACACAGCACTCCAGGTGAGGCCTTACCAGAGCAGAGTGGAGAAGGAGGATCACCTCCCTAGACCTGCTCACCACACTCTTTTTAACACACCCCAGAATGCCACTGGCCTTCTTGGCCACCACCAGGGCACAGTTCTGCCTCATGGCCAACCTGTTGTCCACCAGGACACCCAAGTCCTTCCCCACAGAGCTCCTATCCAGAAGGTCAGCCCCTAACTTGCCCTTGTTGAACACTGTCAGGTTCCCCCCTGCCCAACTCTCTAGATCTCCTTGGATGGCCCCACAGCCCTGTGGTGTTTCAGCCACTCTTCCCAGTTGTGTATCATCAGCAAACTTGCTGAGGATGAACTCTATCCCTTCATCCAGGTCACCACTGCAGATGTTAAACAAGACCAGAAAAGATGCAGGGAATCACTCCTACAAGGACAACAAGTAGCAAGTGACAGAGCTCTCAAACAGTAAAGCTATCAATAGAACAAACACCTGCCCTAGAGGAAGAGAGCGTGTAAACTGCACCCCTTAAATTAATTTCAGTTAATTGCAAGACTATTTGTAAATCAGTTCCGAGAAAATAAAAACATTTTATACTGCTCTTCAGCCTCTGTATTTTCTTTAAGGAACAACCATATTAAAGATAATTTATTACATTTAGAAGTTCTGACAGGTAAAATAAATTTTCTAGTCAAAAGTACTTAATTCACAATTTTATATTTGACACCTCACAGCTTTTAATATAGCCATAGCCCTCATAAAACAGAAATGAAACTACTTACTGGTTGCATAGCTCTGGCTGTCTAACTAAGTTTTGAATGAATTCATTCAGTCCTGCTCTTCTCTGTTTAATAAAATCTGGAAAAAAAAAAAACACATTAGGAACGATCAGTCAGCTAACAAAAGAAACTTATTTTTAAGTTGAAGATATTCGAAGATTTTGATGCACAACGGTTAAAAAGAGCAAAGTGAGAACAGGATTCGTTCAACACATGAAAATCACAAGAACAGTCAGGTGAGGCGAGAGAATACATTTCAGTTCCTCTGTAATGCTACTTTGAAGTGTGACAGGACAGGTGGATTTTGAAGCACTTCAAGAGCAATGGGCAACCGCAGTGTGCTAACCTCCTGCAGCCTTCTTTGCATGGGTGAGCCCCCCAGGCCCAGATTTCTCTTGGAAAAAAGCCACAGGCAAAACTATCACACAAATGGTGTTTTTACATGAACAGTCTCACCAAACAGCATATTTCCATAACAAATGAAAATGGGAAAGTTGCACAACCATCTAGCAAGCGCTTAGATGTAACCACTAAAAATAATCAGGTAAAATACTTTTCTTTCCACCTTGGACATAATCCCTAATGTTAAATAAACAAATCCTCAGAATCTTTATGATTTTTTTAAGCAGTATGGAAAGATATGCGAGGGATTTGAAATAGGAAAACAAAAGCACAGAACAGAAGAACCTTGTGTTTCATCACTTGTATCAATCACAAAAAGCCTCTTTCTTCTAAAAATCAACGTGTACACACTTCTAAGGTATTCTAATATTCTAATGACATTTTTTGCCATGAGCAGGTTACTTAAAATATTTGCAAAAAAAACTTGAGAATTTTAGTTATTAAGAACAATACGTTGTTTCAGCAACATAACACCTAAATCTGAATTAGGATGTTAAACAATCCCCCAAAACAGGAGCATGAATGTGCATAAAGATCTTATGCGAGTCACCAGCATCAGCTACTTTTGATGCTGAATGCAGTCAGCCACTCTAAGGCTAGAAACCTATCCACATTGCTGAAGAAAAAATATCTGCAACAAATCTACTCAAATACACACCATCATTTTTTTGTTCTGTATTCTGACTGGTTTCTATTATTTCCCTCTACTCTGTTTTTAAAGTTACAATTGGATTAATTTTAAAATAACTTAAATGATAATAAGAAATGAGGCTTTAGATGATAGCGTATGTGATGATGGTATTTTTAGCAGACCTTGGGAAAAGCATTTTTCAGCTTCACTCTACTGTGCTTATGACTACAATGCACCAGTGCAATGCTGAATGCCCACATTGCACATGCAAGAACAGACAGACAAAACTAAAATACCTTTCTAAAGCTGTAGAATACACCTTATTTCAGAAGAAAACAGAAACACTGCATCAAAGTTTTAGTAAATTAGCGTTAAGATCAAGAATTATTTAAATGAGCATCACCCTGCCCTGAAGCAAGAAAAACCTTAAGAACTGTTTTCTCATGTTTCCAGGATTACAGAACATTCGATGAAAATTTAAAGTAAGTCTGAGGATTGTGTTTTACATACGTAATTTCAATGAAGTTTTAGTCTTCCCTCCACCCCGCCCCCCCCCACTTTAAATCCAGTTTCCTAAATCTGAATCCAAGAAATCCAATAGCGCATATGGCTGCAGAGAAGACCAGAAAGCATGGTATTACTAGGTCTTCAGCCAGCTCTGAAGCCCCAAGGTAGGAGAAAATGAAAGAAGACAAAATAAAACAAGAGGTCTTCTTCAGAAGAAGCCAACCTAAGAGGAAAGCAAACCTGGGTAACTGTATGGGATTATTTTAATTAGCAAAAAAAAGAAAAAAAAAAAAAAAAAAAAGAGAAGGAAGCTTCACGTCAAGGTTTAGATGACAGTAACTGCTAAAAATGAAGATGCTTAAAAGAACTCTTCAACCAAACACATGCCAAGAAGGTCAGCCTATCTGGTTCCACTGGTAATTCAGCAAAGAAGAATATTAAACCTTTAAACAGGTACAGGAGGAGGTAACACTACAAACTTAGATCAAATCAACAAGCCAGTAGAAGGAGGTTCTCAATGACCATCAGGAACAGAGAGCAGAGGCCTAGCCTGCCTATTTGCCTTTGTATTTATTCACCCGTGGTGCTGCTTCCATTGATTCACTGCACTTTTAAAAGTGATTTTCCATTAATATTCTGATGTGGGCAGGGTGAGCTTTATTGAGACTAATCCGTCCTAATTGGATCACACAGTGATCTTATCACACAGGCTTCCAGAAATGTAACAACAACAGGAAGAATTCCATTTTCATCTAAACTGTGCAAGAAAACACATTTAGATATGAAGTTCAGAAGCCTTCAAGGATAAATTCCTTCGTTACTTAAATTTTTAGCAGGAAGAAAAGTCACACAAAGCAAATATGAAGTTCAATAGGCATATGTTTAGAAGAGCCTGTAATTTGGATTTTATGTCTGACAGTTAGAATCTCTCACAATCCTGAATATGACCCGGCTGGGAAGAACTGTAGCACTCAGTACAAAAGAGGTATCATGCCAGTAAGCAACAGTTTGTTCAAAATCACAAGGAAGAATACCTACCCACACTAGTTCCTGCTCTTTACTCAAGTATGACTAAACTTTGGTTTAGTCACTGGTTTGAGGATTGCTGCAATACTCATCTAAGATAGCTTCCTGTATGCTGCAACAGACCAAGTCTCAAATAAAGACATTGACAAAACAAGAAACAAGATAATAACTTGCCAGGATCAAAATTATCTCCAAATATTCTTTTAGCTGGAATCTTCAGGTTCATAGTGGGAAACTGCTTCTTTAGCTGGAAATATAACACATAAAATGAAACCACGCTTAGACTTTTGCTGTGATTTTTACCATCAAAATCATAATTACAGAATCACAGAATGGATTGGGTTGGAAGAGACATTAAAGATGATCTAGTTACAACCTACCTGCTATGGGCAGGGCTGGCACCCACCAGATCAGGCTGCCCAGGGCCCTATCCAACCTGGCCTTGAAAGCCTCCAGGGATGGGACATTCACAGCTCCTCTGAGCAGCCTGCTCTGGTGCCTCACCATTCTCTGAGTACAAAGTTTCTTCCTAATTATCTAGTCCAATTAACTCATCTCTTCTAGTTTTAAACTGTTCTCTCTTTTCCTGTCTCTATTAGACAGTGTAAAAAGTTTGTTTCTCTGCCATCTATAAGCTCCCCTCAAGTGCTGGAAGGCTACAATGTGGTCCTCTCAGAGCCTTCTCTTCTCCACGCTGAATGAGCCCAGTTCCCAACCTTTCTTCGTAAGAGAGGTGCTCCAGCCCTCTGATCATCTTAGTGGTCCTCCTCTGGACCTGATCCAACAGCTCAACATCTTTCCTGTGTTGGGAAATTCAGTACTCTAGATGGGGCCTCTCAAGGGCAGAGTAGAGGGGGGATAATCACCTCCCTTGCTCTGCTAACCAGGAAACAGTTGGCCTTCCAGGCTGCACACTGCTGGATCAAGTCCAGCTTTTTGTCCACCAGGATCCCAAGTCCTTGAAAGGGCTATCTCAAGGGGTTCTTCTTTCAGTCCATTTATGTATACAGGATTGCCCAGACAAACGTCACACCTCACACTTGGCCTTGTTGAATTTCACTACGTTCTCAAAGGCCCACTTTTGAAGACGGCCCTGGTCTCTCTGGATGGAATCTCTTCTTTCCATTGCGTCAAACTGCACCACTCTGCTTGAATCAGCAAATTTGCTGAGGGTACATTCGATCTCACTTTCTATGCCATTGATAAAGATGCTGAACAGTACTGGTTCCAAGACAGACCCTGAAGGACAGCACTTATCACTGGCCCTTGTAGCTGTAGCATCAGCTACAATCCTTTGGCTGTGACCATCCTACCAATTGCATATACAAATACACGCTTTGCTTGCTTTGACAACTGGTTAATTGGAAATTTCCCTCGCAACATAATGATCCTTGGCAAAGGAGCCAATTTTGAGTTTAAAATTCAAACAAATCAAAGTAAAACAAAAAACAAACAAAAAAACAAACAAAAAAACCCCCCACCATTTTCTTTAAACAGGCTCCTAAAGTTATTGAATGTTGACTCAAACTCCTCAGTGAGGGCATTAGCTGAACAGTTAGCACTGGAAACAAGTGTTACTCTGTGTTATCCTGGCACAACGCCACAACCCGCTTTTTGCTTACCGTATTGTAGAGTTTATCAAACTCTGCATACCGTCTGAAGACAAACCACTCATTTCTGCCAACTGAGACCAACACTTTGTAAACCTACAATAACATAAATACACGTTAACGTCAACAGCAAAGTCTCAGAAAACCTCCCACATTTAAACCCTGGGTGAAAATAAGGCCAGCTTGTTAAACTCATTGTGTAAACACACTGGCTGAGCTATGTATTTCTTACAGTAGTCACAAACACCAATCATCAATGCAAAGGACTAGGAGAGCAAGAAAGTCTGGCTGTTTTCAGAAACGACTTTTGCTTACCTGCGCCGTGAAAGAGAAAAAAGCTAATATCAAATATCAAGGAAGTAAAGCATTCCAACACTGCAGATTGCCTTCATTGAAATTCGGGGAGAAAGTGCACACAGATGACAGGTATAAAGAGAACAATTCCTCCCAACATCTTGAATGCATATTATAATTAGGATTCTTGCAGACAGTTGGGAATCTGGACAATACTAAATTCAACTGAAAGCATTCTATGATTCTATGAGTTCTTCAAAGTGAAAAAAAAAAATGTTGCTGCTGTTGAAATGCAGTTCAGGTTACATAATACAGGTCTGGGGTCAAGGGACGAGTAGCTGGAACCTGACGCGAAATTCAAATCCCATGACATCAGAGGACTCTAGTAACCAGGCAAACTGTGGATCCCTGGATTCATACACCTACTTGACAGCTGGATCTCCTATCCCTTTCCCTCTTATGCAAGCAGTTCATCTTCCATCCCCATCTTCTTGTGTTTCCAGAAAGAGCCCACCTTTTCTTCAAGGAGAAGAGGGACACAGCAAGGAAACAAGTGCAGCAGGCTGCTAATTCCTCACCTAGAAAACTGGGCTGATACCCTGGTGGCCTCCTTCCCTTCTGGTCTGTATCAATAGTTAACCCATGTTTTCATACCTCTGGGCTCTACTACTACTACCAGCTACACTTACCTTGACTGCTTCTAAAAAGGCAAGAGGGGAAGAAGAAAAAAAAAAACCACAAAACAAAAAACAGCCACCACCCATCCAGAGTTGCTCAGAGAATAACATTTTCAAACTAACTAAATTAAGCCTAAAGCAAAACTTGTTTTAAACAGCTCCTAGAAAATGGAAAAGATCCATCCAAGCCCTGCAATCTGTGGATAAGTAATACTTTAAAAAAAAGTAAAAATAAAAAAAAATTCTAAAAAAACACAAGACTAAACAAAACTCCTGAAAACATCACCATCACAGCCATCATTGCAAACTGTCTTCTCAGATCCAGACTGGACAACACCCAGCTATTTCTCAATATGATTTCCTCATGGAAGAAATCATTGAAATCAAAAGGTTTCAATTCTGTTTTGGTAGCTTACACTGCTAGACTGAATATGCAATTTGTATTAAAAATATGTACAATGGTAGGATATACATCTTTCACTTTCATGAAAGGAAGCATTGGGAAAGTATGCAAACTAACTATAGTTAAAAAAAAAAGACGACAGCCTCCATGAAGCTGTACCTTATTACATGTTACTGAAAACTGAGAAGTTTCTCACATTATATCAGAAAAATTATGATTTCTTAGTGAGTCTGTGTTATGGCTGGAGGAGACAACAGAAGAGGTCAGGAAATACAATTAAGCCTTAGCCATTAAATAACACAAGGATAAAAGCAAAAGAAAGCAGGCCACTATAAAGGACAGAATAGCAGCTAACATGGCCTATGTGTGGCCCAAAATATGTATTTTGCCACTTCCCCCCAAAAAAAAAGTGAATGTTGAATCTTCAGGAAAAAAGGCATGACAGTGGACCAGAATGAATATAATTCCTGGTAACCAGCCTCTTCTAAGTGAAAACAGAAAAACCGCATAACCTGAACATCAAAAAAAATGCAAATGTGAAATTATTAGCTCCCTTCCCCACTTCACACCCCAAAGGTAATAAACATATCAAATACAGGTAGTATTTATCAAAAACCAAACTGAACGTTCAATTAAAAGGTTATGCAGATGCTCAGTAAGAACCAAGAGCTCATTTCCAAAGACAAAACTGAGAAGTTTGCCTTATTTATCTGAATAAGGATTCTACAGAGACATGATTGTTTCTGAAAATGCTTCAGTTAGAGTAAGTATGAGAGCTAGACAACGCTCATACTTGCATCCTTTCTGAGCCGACATGAAGCCAACCACAGGGAGGTTTGAGCTACAATTTCTCACTTCTATTCAGATCAGCAAGATTCTGGAATAGCCTTTTAATAGAAGCAGCAATGATACATACTGTAATCAGTGAAGTGGCAAAGTTTATACAAAGTAGTCACTCAAAGTCTTTCCTAGCCTTTGTCACTTAACATTTTCTTTCACCCTCAGGCTTTTTTCCTCCTTAGGGAATTCGTACAGACATTGCCATGAGAAGCAGTCAACTATGACCTAGCACAAAGTTGCTCAGAACGAAGTGTTCCCCCCACCCCTCTCACTCCCGTTCAAAAGCAGACCTGACAGGCTCCAGTCATTACAACACAGCTACAAAAAAGGAGGCAAAAGTGAAAGCACTGACAGACATGCTCTGGAATTCAGTGTTCCTACCACAAAGTTTAGCATGACCCTCACTTCTGTCATCAAATCCTACAACACACAAGGCAATAGTCAAAAGCTTGGTTGCTGAAAGCAGCCCTGTCACACTGCTCATTATTCCTTGATGCAGAAAGCAGAAAATGCCAAGACAAGGCACCTCCACACAGCACAAGTTGGGCTGGATTTTTTTTTCCTCCTCCTCCCTACACCCAATTTCTGATGTTTCCTACTATTGCTGGTAGAGCTTTCCAAAGGGCATGCCCAGATAAAGTACCTTTGAGCTAAGGCTGTCACAAAGATATTTAGGTAAAGTGACATGGAAATCCAAATATCAGCATGTTCCACAGCTGTACCACACTGAGACTTTTTAACAGCAGGACTGTCAGTGCTGAGGCAATAAAACAAACTTGTTTTGCTCAAGTTTCAGCTTTGATTTTTATTTGCTCATTTGAGTTTCACACACATTCAAAATATTAGTAATGTTCTCTTGTTCCTTTTACCAGCACATTTATGCCTCAAATTACACTCTGACATACTTGAAGACTGCATATCATTCTTCTCTGAGGAAAAGGGGGAGGAGGAGGTCAAGGAAGACAAATAATTAAGTAAATCTTTGTTTTGTTATATTCAGGCAGCAGTTGAGTCTAAGTGTATTTACACTCCACTTCTGAAGAGTGACTAATTCAGAGAGAGGGAAGCTTAGAGGAAGTTGCACAAGAGCAATGAGACAGTTTGAGCTTTTTAAATGAAGGATTATTATGCTGTCTTTGTATACAAACACACACAAGTGCACAAAACTTTGATTTTCAATCTGCAAGAATCTCCCCACAGGATGGGAAGACTATTTCCAGAAAGAAGGTTAAACTGGGAGACCAAAAAAGAAAGGGAGGGGAACGACAAGGGGTGGAAATGAGAACAGGATAGGAAAAAACTCATAAGCATTACAATCGGAAAACAGGAAGGAAGACTGAGAATTGGTCTTTCAAAAATGTGATGGTTTATGATTTTTTTTTTCCTTTTACACACAAAATATCAAAATGTGATACCTACCAAAAATGGCAGTTTCATAAACATATTTTATTCCTTTACAAAAGGAATGTTTTTGTCAAAAATAAATCACGAAGAATGCCAAATTTTCATTTGATTTGGCACTAAGATGTAAAACTCACATTTGAAAACTTCCCTATTTTATAAGAGAAAACATAGCTATTTGGGGTGGGTGGAGGGGGAGTATCACAAATTTGCAAAGTCAAATTGTTTTTGCAGAAAGTAGTTAAGCACTGTAAAACATTCACAGCTTCTCACTCTGGACTATGGCCAGTACTCACAAGAGCAAGCGAACAGATTTCTGTAAACCTGTTCAAAAAAGCTCACTGTTGAAAACAAGTAACACTTGCAAGTAGTAATAACCTACACATTTGCCTACAATGCTTAAACTCACATACTTACAGTAAACCTCTTTTTCTTCTCTCTGTGTTCATCAGAGCTGGGAATGCTAACACTTGGGCAGCTTTCTTTGAGATCCATTGTATGTGTTCTTCCAGCAAATTCGTGACAGTACTGTGCTTGGGGTGTTGCAATCAGAAGGTATCTTCAACGGTATTGATCTAAGATATGCAACTCTTCTTGAGTGAATTCCATCATGTAACCTTAAAGTGAACATAAAAAAGAAAATCAAGTCCAGGAACACTTGGCTCCAAGTGCTAAAACCTGTGTGACAACAACTTTTCCTCACAGGACATACACTTTACTATGCATGTACGCAGACATGTGCAAGATTTTGCAAGTTTTCATGCCTTTGGTCCTTTGTCATTTCACTGAAATCATTCGTGTTCTCCGAGGACTTGAGTGCAACACAAAAGCCTCCTTTATGCATTCTGGAATCAGATTTGGGGTCCACTTGTAGGAATAAAGACAGAATCAAGTGAAATAACAAATAGGTATCAGCTGAGAAAAGCCACTGACATTACGTTCAGAAGGGTTTCTTTCAAGACTACGTATTTTCAACTGCATGAGGCTGTACCAGAAGGCATTTCAGATTTGCCAGAATGTACTGAGTGAATTTAATTATCACATCAGGGATCAAAGATGACATTAGAAAATTGTTTCATGTGAATTTCAGAGGGCACACCTGGCACAGCCTGCATTTAGCAGAGCAGTAAGGCGCCCATTCCCATCAGCAAAGCAGTTCACTTCCTTACAGAACTCAAGAAGGGCAAAAGACCAGAGCATTCGGTGCTAACTGGATGTTCCCCTACAGAGAGAGGAATACTCTGCCCACCTGGCAGCGAGCACAAGCCAATTGCTTACCAGGCCACACTTCAAGTGACAGGAACTTCAGGAGTGCTGGAGAACACCACTGAAATACCTACAGCCCCTGCTCAGGCCTGCGCAGCCATCTGAAGTGTGTTGTCAGCGAGCGCGGCTCAGCTTCTAGAGCACTGTGTGTCAGAGCTACAAACTTTTCAGAATTTTGGGGTTGGTTTTTTTTTTTTTTTTTTTAGTAAGAGGAGGCTACTGTTCTCTTCAAAACACCCAGAGGAAAAAGGAGCGCCCAGTTCAACATTTAACTCCCTGTTTTCTTAAAACAGTGAGGTATTAAAGTGGACTGTATTTCATACCATAAACCTTCAAAAGCACAAGCTAATTTGAGGTAATTCTGCTATTAGAGAGACACCCATATTTATGTTGGCAAGAAGGCTGAAGCCCCTGGAATTCAGTGAAAAGACGTTCTCGATACCCTGCTAATCACAGTCAGTCGACTACTTTCTTGTTCTCAGAAGCCAGAACATCTCCCTGAGTCAAACTTTCACATTATCATCCCTCCTGTAGTAATTTAAAATTAAGTAATTTTGAAAGTTCAGTCTGATGACTTTAAACAAAAAGGAGTGTTTGAAACTACTGTAATCACAACTGAGTCACAGACCATCCATACTGCAACATAACCAGAGAATGACTTTTTGTTACATCTGTAGTCAGTTCAAGTGTTCTGTTCTTCACTGATCTGGCGATTACAGAGTTGAGTTTTTCTCCTTCCCCTTTTTATTGGGCTACAGCACGGTTACTGACCTAAAGTTTCAACTTGGTTTCTCCATTCCTTTGGCAAGCCACTGTTAAAACCCTTATTACAACAAGGTACAGTTCCCTTTTCACACTAGAACTTCCTTAAGACTATCCTACACCCATTTCCCCACACTATTTTTAAGATCTAAAGGTTAACTGTACTCTTCTCCACCAGTAAGAGGTCCTCTAAAATAGGGAATGGGTGCTGCTTTCAGTCAGCATTTTGCTAAGCTTACACTTTACTAAACACTTATGTCAATCTTCAGCCACTTCAGATACAGCTCAAGGAACCTCCTTCCTGCTCATCACATAAAGAAAACAGCAAAGCTTTAACAAGAATTAAGAGTTCCCTGACTAATATCATTCAATGTCTTTGTCCTCTTGTAAACCCACATTCGTAACACGCATGCATTCACTCTCACAATACAGACTGCACCCCTCTGATCCCTTTCACCTTTGATTCCTGGTGCCACAGTTCCACCACTACACAAGTATTACTAAGGATTAAAAGCTGTAGCACAAAGAACATTACTTAGCAGATTGAGCTGTATTCCAGATCAGAAGCTCAAAGTTCTAGGGGAAACAAAAGGAGGAAGTGTCACTCACATTAATTCAGGAAGAGTTTATTCAACTTGCGGGGGAGAAAAAAAATAAATCATCTGACAAGTTGAAACTGCAGTGTTTGAGTCTCTTTCTTTAAGCTACCTGGAAGGTCCCCAGCTGGGATTCTTTTCCTTCCCTGAGGAACCTCCTCTGAGTTGTGCCTGGGTCACCAAAGCTACATGGAATTGCCAAGGCTGGAATAAATGCAATATTGGTTAGGCCATTACAGTCCAGAATATCAGAGCTTTCTTTAAATTCTATTTGTTGTGAGCACACTAGCTCTGAAGAACTTGTCAGAACTGCAGGTCTGCCTGCAGAACTAGGGACAGATTTACCTTAGCCTTCTCCATGCTGAATTTTTAGTAGTAGGTAAAACCAGTAGTGCCGTCACTACATGAAAGTCACAAGGAGCAAAGAGACAGCATTCTCACACACAACTCCAAAAGCACAAACTGCAGTGTCTTGAAGGTTGTCAAATATGGGAAAATGTAATAGACACTGTCAGGTGAGAAGTCTCTGCCTCTGGTTACAGCTTTTCTGCAGCTAGGAACAAGCAAACCCTGCCTCTGCTGGCAACAAGCAGAAAGGAGGAGAAGCTTTTTAAAAAAATAAAGAACAGCCTGTAAAAGAAATACCCTAAAATCATACTTGGGCACTAGATAAAGAGCATGCAGATCATGCAGGACATGAACACTGAAATCAATGCTGTTAAAAACTGTGATGAGCTAGAACCATCAAGTCACTGCAGTATTGAGGTCTGAAACACAGGAAGGCACAGACAGATAGACAAGGGAAGAGCAGAAGTCACGCATTCTCCTGGCAAAATTTCAAGCCTAACCAAGCTCCATGTCCATTCTCTCCACTGTGGCTGTCCAGCAGCAAGCTTTATTTTCACTGTTTCCTGTAGGAAGCCGCAACAATGCCAAATTTCAAGCTGACTCTTGTCTCTGTTGAAGCAAGAGCGTGGCAATAGCAGAACTGACTCAATATGAACGTATATAGCTCTAGACACACAAATGAAGAATTTTCTGAATGCCTCACAAAAAACCGCTTTGTGCCACCTCATTACAGTTACATGCAACAAGCAAACACTAAGGAGTCTGTGACATACAGCAACTTCCTCTCAACTCCATTCTATGTAAGATAGGCTCCAAACATATCATAAAACATTTCTGAAGTTTAATCAGACTGTTTTCTTTTCATAAATGAGAATAACCTGAAGATTATATCAGTGCAAAACCAAAGACCCTCTCCCTCCAAGCTCATGACTCAGCCTCTACCACAATTAGGCTAGGAAGCACTCGTTGCTTTCATAGCTGTAGTCAAATTGCCCTAAATGCTTCTGACTAAGGCTGGAATAAAACAACTATTATATTCACTCCAAGTAATAGAAGGAAAGCAGAGAGAACAGTCAAAAAGACCAAAAGCCAGTCTTTCTGCAAGCATAATTGGAAGACTCACCAGGATCCATACCCCACCTACCAAAACAGAACAGGCCTTTCCCCTACACACTAATAATCCACCTGCAAAAACTTACTCTAGGACTGAGTCACAAGTAAAACCAGCTGCAGAAAATCCCACCTGAGTGCAACTCCAGCCACAGAACAACACAGAACAAACTTAAGGGAAACAGAACAAAGACACAGGAGAGAGTCCTACTATTTGCTATAAACATCACTTGATCTCCTCTTAGAGAGCACCATCTCCAGCACACTTTTCATCACTTCACAGCCTTCTCCCCAAATCCCTTGATATATCACAGGACATGACAGATATTTTGAGAAAGCCAACTTGTTCTCTGCTCTTTATGATGAAAAGGAGTGACCCAACCATTCACCACCAGGAAATGAGATACAAGCTATCCACAATCCAATGCAGAATCACAGGGAGGAAAGACAGGGACTGTAGGAGTCACAAAAGATTCAAAAGCAAAACACAGACCACTGTTCTTCTCTAAGGAGAGATGGATGCCTAGAAGCTGTTGAAGAATCTAGTTCTGAAGGAAACAGGCTGCACACAGGCTACTCTTTCACATACCACACACATACCATTTTGGTATGAAAACATTAGATACCAGCACAGACCTCCAGAAATCAGAAGTGATGAAAAAGAAGAACACTAACCAAAACATTCTGTCCAATCCCTGTCTTATCTTCAAGCCCTCTTTTAAATCAGCCATTGGTATGAAGGAAAGAAAGGCTGCTCACTGTTTACGCACCCACCACCTACCTTGCTTGTTAAAAATCCTCAGTAGCACCAGCGTGAAGAGCAAACCACTACTCCACAGCCACTTGGGCAAAGTCCAATTCTACCTGCTATTCTTTTCTACAAGTAGAAAGAAGCAGTGAACTGAAAACTGAACCAAGGGATTGAAAGCAGTAACTTCTTTCTTCAGTCTCTACTACTTCCCACCTCCCTGCTGCAGTAAAGAACAACCCTTCTCTCTAGCCCACCTCCCAGATAAGCTCCAGTAAGTTAACAGACATACCTTACACATACAAATACATATTTATATTTACCATTATAAATATACAGTGATTGATACATAAAATACACATTCTACATAGAAAATAGTATCTGTATGCATTCCTGTTTATTACATAACAGAATGCAGATTCTTTGCTGTGGTAAGCAATACCTGAGTAATAAAATGGGCCTAAGCACAACTGCCACCAATAAAAGATGGCTTCTAATCCACACGTGGGTATATACTAATTCAATCTTTAGCCTGTGTCTACAGTTTGCAGAAAGGTCACAGCATCTCAGATGGTGACTGACTTACAGCAGGAGCAGCCCAAGCAAGACCCAAGCTTGCATTGCACATGCTACCTGCACATTTTTGGCATGCTTCCTCAGCCTTCCTACACACCGGGTCCAATTACAGCTAAGGGCAGATGCCTAAGGACAGTGCAGAGCAGAAGGTGCAGCTGCAGCACCACGAGCTGCTTCCCAGAAGTCTGGCACACATCAATACCAGCCGCTT